GTCAAGGCTGATAAACGCATATACGCATTAATAAAGCAAAACGGGCTTTATATATATTGCATGGCTTTAATTTTCCAGTTATCTGTTTAAGGAACAAAGACATTTTTTATGTGGTTCAAAGAACCACTAAATTGTGTAATTTATTTAAAATAAACCGAAGCACTGCCTGCTAAATTTTACAAGGCCTTTTATTAACCAGACTTCGAAATGTCAACATTAATTCCAGTCTCAGAAGCAGAAGCTGATGTTGAATTCTTAAAGCTGAGCAGACAGCCCCCGCCAATTTAAGCAAAATTATGGCAAGCGATGCCAAAGTGCAGTTGCCTTTATTGCCCACAGCCCCTTCCCCAAACCGTAGCTGGCACATGGATATGCAAGCTGCACATATTTTTCATAACAAATTGAGTCATTAAACTTATTTATACGCGTTGAAAGGCACTAAAAATCACTTCCGCGTTTCTGCGACTCTACAATTTCGTCTGCACTGCGTTTCTGGGTCAAATGCTGAGCCTTCCCATCCTGACTGTCGCTCCCTGCTGCTTCCCAAAACGAAAATTGCATTTGTAAAATAACCGTCGCCCCATAAACCCCATGTGCTTAAAAGTATTATTATACCCTACCCTGTCAAGAGTAATCGCATACTGAATACTTTTCTTGTCTTCTTTATAAGTTTGTAGCACCCATAATATACATATTTAATCACTATAATGAGACAAATGCCAACGTCATTAAAAAGCGGTTTTATGTCAAACAATTTTGCTTGCTTGTAAAAATATTCACAAACTACATTTTCTTAAATGATTTGGAATGGAAAAGGAGACCAAAATAAGTAGAAAATACTCGTTTCTAAAAATAATATACATCGCTATTATGGAAACAGTTTCTAGCCCAAGTCCATGTCTTTATTTTAAGCTAAAGTGTAGGGTATCTATGTTCGGCGCACATGAAAATAAGTTCTTTAGCTCGTTTTTTATGTTCTTTCATTATGGTTTCATATATAATTCTTATTAAGAAAGTCGCCTGCCTACAGCAGGCAGGCAGCTGTTCTTGGGCCAGACCATTGTCTTTGTGCGCCTGCACGGCACTCGAAACTGGCACAGGCCATAAAATTTAGCATTTTAATAGGGCATTATTAATTTTTCCCCGCTTTTATGGGTCAACGTGCAACGAAAACGTGCAAATTTTCAACGTTGCTGACTTTTAGTTTCACTCCAAGATCACAGCTCACACGATTCGCTTACTACGATAACCTACGAGTTTAATGCTAGTCCCGCTCATTAGGCGATAGAGTCGGGCCTGAGACGGCATCGAGCGAGCGCACCCAGGCATAACAATTTTATCGGCGTGAAAAACAACTCAACTATCGGCAGCCACATCTATGATTTAGTGTACGGGGCTGCCGACAGTCTGCAGTCTACAGTCTACGGTCTGCCAAACGCCGAGCACTTGACAATAATTTACGCAAATAGCATAATTCGCTTTATAGGAGTGCAACACTTAAGACGAAGTCGTACTCGCAACATGATGGTGATGCTGGTGCTGATGCTGATGCTGATGATTCTGCTCCTTCTGCCATCCAATGACTGTAACTATGTAGTTAAGGAGGAGTGCTCGACGCGCTTTCAACGCCAACGCGCCTGCGTCAGCGTCAGCGTCAGCATATGAGTGTGCGTGTGCGCATGCGCCTGAAATTGAAACGAGTGCGCAGCAATGACGATGCTGCCGCCTAATGAGGCTTTTGTCTGGGGGCTGTGGTGGCTTCATGGCTTGGCCGCCTTTTGGCTTTGGTCTGGTTATGCGTGTGTGTGACTCACAATGATTTTCACTTGCTTGCTATTTGTTTGTTTGTTTGTTTGTCCGTTCGTCAGTTATTCACCCAATCTGTCCAGTCTGTCCTAGAGCTGGGTACGTGACACTGCAGTCTGTCATTTCAATAATAACTTTATGCTAAAACAGTCCACATTGCCGTTCTCCCACAGCCGCTTTTTGCAGAAATACGTAATAAATTTTAAAAGCAACTGCAAAAATTAAATTCAAATGAAAATTTGCGAGTGTTTATTAGTTAACAGATTTCTACTGATATTGCTAATAACTCATTTTCATAAGTTCATTCTAATTTACAAATAACACAATATCTATTATTATTGTCTTAATTCTGAATATTATCGGAGATTAAAAAAACTGAAAATTACATACTTCCGAAGGTCAACTAAATATCTATTATTGAAATGAAAAGTACCTTCAGCAACCCTGCAAAAATAGTTTGTGAGGCCTATAAGTGATTTACAAGATTATAAATCGCACTCACTCACGCAACTCACTCATCTCTAGTCGGTCCATTTGCCAGGCATGGGGTGTGCGTTGATATTTGCGTGCCGTGCAAATCGACTTTTGCATCTGCAATAACAACAAAAGTGACTTGATAAGCGTTGTACTTGTTGTTGCTGTTGCTGCTGCTGTTGCTGTTGCTTTTGCAGTCTGCGGTTGTTTTGGACGTTTTGAAAAGAGCCGCGTACATGCACAAAGCCATGCTTCGAGATGTTGCAGCAATACTTGGCTGCCCGATGAGCGCGAAGGGGAGCGGTTCTGCCTTTTAATTGCAATTGCAGAAATTTACAATTCCACGCACAGCGATGGCTTTAGATTGTAGCCCAGTCAGCCAGTCAGCCAGTCAACCAGTCTGCGAGTCAACCAGCCTAAGAGCCAAAGACCCAGAGAGCCAGACAGACAACCAGCCAGACAGCAGCCATATCATAAGTCGAAATCTCGGCGCACCGCCAACCACTTCAAATATCATCAGTGGGCACGCCTTAGAATTATTGGCGCTAGACATGCAAATCCATGCCGCACGGCATGATGCCTCAGCTTGGCGGTTCTAACGAGTTTCGGTTTCGTAATCGCCTGACTTTGGGGCCTTCTCTACGCCGACGCCGACATCGTCGTCGACGCAGCATAAATCATAATGACTTTATTTATGCAACGACAGTTGTTACAATTCTATCAGCGGCTGGTCCAAAATAAACAAATTGCGCCGCAACTAGAATACCCAAATTTTCCCATTGTGCCAAATGGTTTTCTATTTATTGGAACATGCTTTTTTGTTGCCCGCTCAGTTTTTGGGGCAACATTGTTGAAACAACGGATGCTACATATTGTAGGAATTGAATGAGCTCACCAATTCTTCTCATAAGCGTCTCATGTGTGTGTAATGGAAACGGGAAGACGTTGGCATCACTGCATCGGAATTTCAAATTAGAGATCTGAATTGGGCTGGAAATGCCAATAGATTTGTGTGTATTACAAAGTCGCTTTTGGAAGACAAATGTGTACCAAAAAATTTTCATTTTTTGGCGATGTTAGGCTAGGTTGCAATGGCTGGCGCAGCGATTGTAGAAAGCTAATGAAAATCGTTTATCAACAAATAAATCTTAAAATTTCCTTACAAATCTAATAATAATTTATAACATTAGTTTCCTTTAAAGTGCTGTTTCTCTTTGTTCCCTCAAGCGATTTCAAGAAAACTATTCATGGAAAAGAATTACCTGCAAATAGACAGACTTTATATAATTGCTATCCAATCCTTGTCAAAGCATTATGATGAGTTCGAACTCATAATACAGATATTTTAGCTATCATTTAAAATAAACAATTAAGTCCACCAACTTTATATAACCCAAAATATATATAGCTTATGTACGAGAAATACGACTTCATATCTTTAATCAAATACAATTATGGTTTATTTTGTTACTTTTAAACATTTTTTTTCTCCACACATGTACGATATACACTGTAGTTTTTTATTTTGTCACAACACACTCATATCTTGTTTGAAAACCTATCTATGAACATTTGAAAATATTCAGAGAAAATATTTTTGACCACATAGTACTTTCACGACGATAGCAACAAACCCAGTAAAACATCATTAGGTTGCACTAGAAATTCCAGCAACAGCAAAAAGAAAATGCTTACCTCAAGAGCTCATTAAAAGTGCACAGAACAATTTGCTGTGGTTGGTCTTCGTCGCGGGCTTGCTCGTATTTGTAAAGTCTATTTACCTTAGCACCTCATTATGATGACCCAAAAGCCAAATAGCGTAACCACAGACGATGACAAGCCCCCGCCAGGTGGGTCTCAGGCACGAAAGATCCGCAGAGACCGCAGCCGCGTAATATTTTCAAGAAAAATTATGGGGAGCAGTCGCAGTCGCAGTCCGAACGCAATGCAACTGACTCAGCTTGCGGTATTCAATTGTTGAATTCATTAGTAAACAAAATAAATCACGAGTGCATTCACCTGCAAGGCGAGGCATTAGTTTTTCCAACTTTTAAATACTATATGTATTTCGTGTATACATACTCGTATGAAGACATATGGAAGATAAAGAAAAAAGTCAACTGGGTCAACGGGCAGATTAGCGCTTCGTCAATTCGAATCGATCGTTCATTGAATACATCTGTTCGAGTCATCGATCACGGGCTGATTGATTGAGCCCAATTATTGCCCCGGCTAGCATTTGATGATATAACAAATTTACATGCGACTTTGATCGCAACGCACCATTATAAATAATTGTAACAAGTTGTGCCCAGAGTTGAACATTAATTTTGCTGCGACTTCGATTTTGTCTTCCTGTTTTGTTTACTTGGACCACAAACATCCGGATGCACAACAAAATGTTGCATATTGTGTGCAAGAAGACAGCTTCTCCATAGGGGAAGTAGTGGGGTTGGGGATTGCTATTTTGAGTTTGAGTTGGCCCATTGATTTTTGAACAATTCTCAATTTATTTATCAACGCAGTTTCAGACTGTAAACACGTCTCGCCATAAACTAAAAAGTGAATTTTATATTTTAAAGTGTAGATGATATGAAAATTTAATTGTTATGAATACCGTTTTTTACTGCAAAAGGTGTGTTTTAATGTTGCTCGAAAGTTAAGCAATCTTTTTAGAAGTTCTACCTACAATTAATGTGTCTTTTTCTGTGTCTTTGCAGGTAAATATGCAAATTTCTTTTACCGTTTCGCAACTCGCGTTGATCGCGCTTTAAGATACCTATATATTTATGCAAATGTGAGTATACAGTTGAATTTAACAAATACTAGTTATTCATGGGAGTTCTAAGTTAACGGAGTGTGGAATTTTGTTTGTGAATTGTGTGTCAGCCGTTACGTATACGCAGTGACTGACAAGTGAATTTTTAAAATGCTGGCATTGATGATATCATTGCCATTTAGAAGCACTGGCTAGAAATGGAAGCGACAATAAACGTATAACAAGTTTTATTTGCAAGCTGATGAGATAATTGCAGACGTGTATTCCATAGCCCCTGAACTATTTGCTGTTTGTTTGCCACTTATTAGCTTCAAGATATTATATATAGCTCAGCAAGAATTGTCAAATTCCTTAGCTCGGAAATGAGTGAAATATATGTGAAAAACTGTAGTCACCCTTCTCTGATTAATGAAACAAAATAAAATATAATATAAAATATATAATATTAAAATACTGCATTAGCTTCAAGTAAATTTAAAAATTGAAAATATCAGTCTGTTGCATTCTAAAGGGATGGGCAAGGGAAGAATTGGGTCTCACTATATGTATAGATCCATTGAAGAGCTCAATTAAGTATTTAGCATATATTTTCCCCATATGAGAGTGTTGAGAACAGATAGACGTGAGGTTTTTACTCTTCGATCTTCATCTCAATTATATTGAAACATACGAGTATAGTGCTTGCGATCATGTGTCTATCTGTTAAAATCACTCCGATTGAAGTTTTGACACAATATCGGGTTGATTTAATTACCCAGGTGTTTGCTTGCAAATGCTATTTCGAGCCACCTGCCGCTGTTCGCTGGCTACGAAAATACAATTCCGAAACAGTTCATGCTGTGCAACACCGACGATTTGTAACAATTTAAAATTCATTTGATGTCGCAAGTCCTTGACACGTTTACGCACCAAATGCCAAAGCATTTGCCTCATTTTAATTACCATTGGCGTAGATGCCGAAACGTGGCGGCTGCTTAATGGCCCCCGCAATTTGTCATCCTGACAAAGCACAGCGGTGGAGCAGCGATCACTGATCAGCGATCGACAATCTTGCCGGGTGCGATGTTTACATTTGGCCATATCAACACCAACAGCAGCAACAGCAGTAACAGCAGCGCTCGCTGCTTTGTTTTAGCTTAATATTTATGCTATTTATGCATGTGCGCGCATGCTTAATTACGAATTCACTAAAAATGTCACAATCGGTGAGCTCGGCGCATTTGTCAAATTGACAGCGGGCTGTGCACTCGCAGATTGCGTACTTTTGCGCTTAATCTTGACACTCGTTGAACGGGCGGGAGGCAGGGGAGAGGCAGTAGGCATTTGATGTGGAAGGCTTTGGCTGCGACTTTGGTATGCGACTTGCGACTTGTGACTGGCCCGTTGAGCGCTTTTTGAATAATGTGCGCTTAGCACGCACCTCGAAAATGGCTTAAAGTAAGCACTCGCGCGTCCACACCCTAAGAAGTGCGCTCGACGGTGCTCATATTTCATGTGTCAATAAACTGAGACACGCGCAATGCCTTTTCGCTCTGCTCTGACTCGGACTCTGAGTCTAGCTTTTGCTTGAGCCAAGCCTGCTGCAGCTGCTCCAAGTCGGTGTTGCCGTAGACAAATTTATTGTTACGCTTTGGGCTAAATTGAAATGATATTTTCATTAACTTGGCCTGGCCTTTGTGCGAAACGACCACGCACCGGACAAACAAAAAACACACAACACATAAGACACCACACAAAACACAAAACACTCAATGGACAATACAATACAATTGAAATTCAATTTGAACTTGTCCGAAAGAGCTATCCAAACAGCTGCAGGTGCCCCCAAGACTCAATGCGGTAATCGGCAACGAGCACCTATCGAAAAGCGCCAAGCGCTCCAAACTAATGCCGCCAATTATGACGGTCCGATATTACCCACAACAGCATGTATTTGTTTCCCACTTATTTGCTGGCTTTGTTGCTCTGCTTTTGTTTATGCAAGACCGCGTCCTTGTCCCTGAATATAAAATCAACTCTCGACCGGGCCGGCGGGCAAGCAACCAGTCCCCTGTGCGACATTTGCAAACATTTTGCAATGTGTCAGGCCAGTCGACTAACTGATGGAACATGGAACGATTGTTCGTCTGCCAAAAGTGCTTTTATTGAATTGAGTTTTAAAAGTAGAAGGATCTTTAGTCAGAGCCAATGAGTCAAATCCATAACCATATCTTAGGGTCGAGGGTAAGCTTTTTGCATCTACCTTTTCAATGGATAGTAAAATGGATTTAACTTAAGGGAAGTGCTTGCTCATTAGCATATGGCCAATGTATTGTGTTCTGAACTAGCTTTGATTGTTGCTGAAATAATAAAGACTGCTGGGGGATAAATTAATATAAAATATAAGTATGATGAATTGAAAGAAGATAGTAAGAAACAATAAAATACTGTGTACCAAAACAAAACAAAAAACTTTCGGACTGATATGTCTAGATCGGTTTATCTCTTCATGCTTGATTCCGCAACTTCTAAATCATATGCGGATCCAAAATTCTCGCAAATAAAAAGTCGGAAACGAGTTTTATTCTAATGATAATGCTTAGCCTAGGTGTGGACGTGTGCCTTTTATGCACACAATCGATACAACTCCAATCCATCGATATCTGTTACATTTCAATTACATTCGTGGGTTTCTTATTAGTCAGCTATTTACATAAACATGAACAACAATGAAATATCGGTTAAGTAATCCAAATCTGTTTACAATACTACTAATAATTATAGCAAGGCATTTTCTTTACATAAATATTCTCCCCGCCATGAGGAATTAATGTGAATTTAAATTATATCAGCTTTTGGCGTCAACAATGCTGATGAAAAGTATGTGTACTTTATTGGATCAGGAATGTTTCCCGTTGCTATTACATACTTTGCATAACCCATTAGCTTCCAGGGACAGGTTTGGAAAAGAAAGTCCTCTCCTTTATTTTAATCATTTACTATATCATATACTATATATACTTATACATTTCTTGCAGCGCACTTACTTTTCTCAAAGTGACCATAGACTTCATCATAGAGAATAATGGAAGAAATGTGATCAACAATAGCAATTGGGTTACAGAAGTTTGTTGTCCTTAAACTGTCCGATACCATGATTTCCATCTCAAGTTCCTTGTATTTGCTTTGAAAATCTTAATTTCAATAAAAAGCTGTCACTGTCACTATCCGAGCAGCCCGTCGGCAAGTCCCGTCTGCTAGTCTGCCTGTCGTGCTGACCAAGCGAAATGCCGCCCAAAAAGCTAAATGGCAGACTTAACGCATTTCTCGTTTGGCTCTCTCAGTTGACTCATGAGGCGCCTACATCGTCACAGCCGTTGTTTTCGTCTTCGCGTTTTGCGTTTCGCGTTGTGAACATTTTCCCGCTGTCATTTTAACGATTTTGAGTGTCAGTTGCTTGCCGCGCACAAAAGGATTTGTTTGCCTGCCTGCGCATGTCCGTGCATGCCCACAGGCGCTTTGATTAATTGCCGCTTGGAATTCTGCGCTTGTTAGGCCGAGTGACGTATGGCGTTGGCGTTGGCGTGAATCACTTAAGCCATGTCGCTCAGAGAGGCTGCCAAAGGTCAAAGAGCGATTGCAGTTCACACACCACGAGCTAAGGAAATGTAAAATTAATTGCCAAATTGTCGGTTGCCTGGGAAATGCGGATTTTAAATGGGGTTGCGATTGCCCAAAAAAACGAAATGCGGACAGACCGACAGACGGGCGACAAGAGTTTGTGGCGTAACAAATTGGCAGCAAAATGTTGGCCAGATCTCTGTCTGGGCAGTCACCGGAAAAGACAAATACAAATTAAGCGCAAAAAGTTAAGGCTTCTGCGCACTTTTGCGTGTCCTCAGCAACAGAGAAAGAGGAAGAGAAAAGGGGGGAGAGGAGCGAAAGAGAGTTATTAGCTGTGGGCTGGGTCTGTGAGCCAGGTCGTGGACGACACGCAATGCGGCAAAAGCGGCGAACGCTGGCAGGTCAAAAGGTTAATGGGCAGCATTAATAGACCCCAAGTGGTTATTGTTGTTGTTATCGCTTAATGACGCCAATCGCTTAGCCAACCGGTTGTTGTTGCTGCAATTGCTGCTGCTGTTGCAATTGCATGCGTTAATGTCGCCTTGATTGCTGGCCATGGCTCTTTCTCCCTCCTCCAGCGACTTCAGCGACTCCATCTCCCCCTCCTCCCCCTTCCCCCTCCCCATCCCCTTCTTCTTCTTCCTCTGTTTTTAGCTGCCAGCCATCAAAATAAATGTGCATTTAAATCTATTGAATATTTCACTGTAGCCCGCCGAGCAGCCAAACAAAAAGGCGAAATTTTTACTTGTGCATGACAGCAATTTGTATGAGCTTTATTGATTGCTCGTGCATATGATTGACTTATTGATTGCCTGATTGATCGATGGACCGGCTGGCTAACTGCTGACAGACTGCCTGACACTAAGCGGCTGGCATAAAGCGCTTATTAAAATCATGGAAGAAAAACAAAATAAGACCAGCAGCCAATTGGCTGCTTAATTGTAAGCTTCGAGCTGCAGTCGAGTTATTGGCCGAAGAGGGTGAAGCGAGGGAGAAGAAGAGAGTGCCCGCAGGGGTTCATAGAACCCGCCTAGACTAAATGCCGTTAGTTTCAGGGCCCAAACATTATGCTAATCAAGAATATGCCAATTTAAGCCTCACTCGCACTCGTCTAGACTTCATAAATAAATAGCCACCAGCAATTTACGTGCAATGCATTTAAACAAGCTCGATATGACAATCACACACAGACACATGTATAAACTCTTATGTGCGTGTGTGTATATATACATTTATAATGTATTGACAAATATTTACGATGTCAAATGCTTAAAATGCATTGCAAATGTGCAAATGTTTAAGCAGCTGACGCGGACACAGAGACAACCATAAATCAGACAAAGAAAAAAATAACTGCAGCAACTGACAGCTGAGAAATGCATTTTTTATTTTATTGTGCATAAAAATAGTACAAACAGCAAATGAATACCAGCAACACCAACAACAACGGAGGCCTGCCTGCCTGCCTACCTACTTATGAGTATGTTTTAATTTATGCGTAAGTCTGGATTTAACAGCATTTCAATATTAATTTCGTTCCTTTTATGAGGACAGCATCGTAGCAACAAACAGCAGCAGCTTCATGCGCATAAATCACTACATTACACGTACTACTACATAGTTATAATAATATACGCTGTGGAACCATAAAGTAAGCCAATATTTTCACGCCGAAACTGAAATACCCTTGCGTGCTTGTTTTTTTTTTTGACAGGCAGAACTCCTATTATAACTGTTTTCAACAGACTAAGCGCAATACATTTTTGAAACACAGGAAGTACATAAGTAATATAGTATTCACACTATTCATACACCACCTATACAATAATATCAAGTATTTTTGTGAAAACTGTATGTGGATCCGTCTTCCCCATTTTCAATCACCAACCGCCATATAGTGAGAGCAGGTCTTATGGTACCATGAAATCTGAAACGGCGACCAACTGAGGAGATGTAAAGCTGCCGAAATCCTATTAAAGCTGGTTGAATTCCCACAGCACAGAGGCACGTGTGGAGCTCAGCTTCAGTTAATAAAAAAAATGTTCAAATATTAATAAATAAATTTGGAAATGGCAAATGAAAATAAAATAAATACACACAGAGCAAACGCAGCTGCTCGCTGGCTTAGGGGCCGCCAAAAAGGCCGCCTGTTAGAGCCAAAATGTGTGAAGACGTGGACTGTGGGTCTTGTTATTAGTTTTGGGGCCAACAATTTAATTTTGGTCACCTTAATTTTTAACAGCGCTTGCTATATAACAAATATTATTACTTAATACAAATTCCATAATTATCATTAAGGAGACACAGCATGTCTCTTGAAAGCTTTGTGAAAAGTTGGAACAAACCTTGGTTCCCATCAATACAATTTTCTTAGCCTTGCTAAGCTTTAAATTTTCCTTATACCTTTTTGTGGTTTTCCTACAAGAATGCCGAACTTAAGCAATTTGCCGAAAATTTAGTGCCAAAACTTTTGTAAGGCCACAATATCCCTATAATTTGTATGTTTCAAATGTTTGTTTCCCCACAAATCGATCCAAAGAAATGGAGAGATTGTAATGCTGAAGAATACTATCACGTACAACAGCAAATGTATAATTTGTATGATTAAGGTGTTTGTTTCCATTTAATTTATTTAATTAATTGAAATTAATATATCAGTGGTCTTTTTAATCAGCTGTTGTGGAAAAATATACCATTGTACGATAAATCGATTCGCTTGCCTGGGACCGACACATGGCAGCCATGTGAATTATGCGCCAACTAGCTGGCCCCCTCTTCCTCCTCCTTCGCCTCCTGACGCTATTGTTTGGCTGCACATGTGGGCGTGTAATTTGACATCTTCATGAAATAATTAAAATTATTTATTGTTCATTTATTTTCACTTGCGCACTCGCTGCGAAGATTGGCAGATAGATAGATTGCCCAGATAAGGACAGAGGAGGCAGCATTGAACAATTAAAATTAATTTGTCGACTCTCGGAAAGTAGGTGTGGTCATTCGCTTGAGCTTTGGTGAAAGGAATTTCCCCTATCTTGCACTTTCACCACCAACCAGAGAGCTTTCAAAGGTCAGCCAGGATGTGTCGCTAGCCAAGTTTCGAACCCAAGTTTCACACTTGACGCCATCACTATTCAGATGAATATCGAGTACGTTAAATGCGCGTAAATATTTTGTTTTTGTGGCCCGCAGCTCTCGAACTCGAATTAATCAACAAAATGCTTACGTTGACAGTCCTCGGTATGCGAATCTGACTTTGACTCTTTTTGGGACTACGACTGGGACTGGTCTCTCAGTGGGCGGGTGGGGAGGACGGCAACTACCAACTGGCGACTACCAACTACTTGTTGACTGGCTGGTGCCCTCTGGGCAGATATTTGCTGCACACATTTTTCACGGTGGCGTGTTTGGCAGCACAACGAGCGACGCCGCGGCGAATGCAATTAAATGAATCAGACCGCCGCCGTTTGCAGTTCAACGCCGCAGTTAATCATGCATCGACATGTTGCCGGTTGCTGGTTGCTAGTTGTCTGTTGTATGTTGCCTGTTGCCGGTGCATGCCAGTGTTGGAGCTCGCATGCTGCTGCTGCAGCAGTGGCAACATTTGGCGGTCAGTTGAAACGGTTGTGGCGGCTGCTTCTTCTAGGACTGCAAGACTGGACATTGGAGAGAAAAGAGTAATGGAAAGTGTTGGGGCTGGCAAATGAAATTGAAAAGCAAAAGGCAGTTGGCAATTAAAACATGTTGCCAGACATGATGCACAGATGGCGCTGCCATCGGGCTGTCACATGCGCTGATGTGCGCAACGAATCGGTGGCGGCATTCAACAGCGTTTGCGCAGGAATGAGGAAAACTTTTCGTTTCTGCCACGTTGGTGAAAAGTTGCTGTTGCCATTGCTACTGCTGCTGCTGTTACTGTTGTTTTTGTTGATGCGCCAACAGCAACATGTTGGTGGGAAATGTATTAAACATGATTTTGGCTGCTAGCTAACTAACTGCCTTTATTGTATCGTAATTAATTTTATCAATTCTCTCTGCCTCTCTCTCTCTCTCTCTTTGCAGAATCACACTCCATGGCCATACGACAATGTCCAATGCTCGCGAGCTGGCATTAATCGAGAAATGGGCTGACATTGCGACGCCACCGCAGTCGCTATCGCCAATATCGCCAACATCGCCGCGGGCCGTCAAGCTGTGCTGCTGCCCACAACGCAGGCGTTACAATCTGAAGCACCCGAAAGCCCCCAATACGTTGCACGCCAGAAACATATTCGTTGATAACGATTTCACGTATATTGATGATGTGCCACGCGCAAGCGACGGCGGCAAGAGCAACACCAAAAGCAACAGCAACATTTGCAACAATAGCCGAGGCCGCGATTGCGACAGCGATTATGATGATATCGTTGAGATCGGAGGGAACAGCAACAACAGCAACAGCAGCGGCCACGACGGAAACGAAACGGAAAAATTAATGAATCAACGAAATGCGCATGAGCAATGGCGGCAGGACAAAGGCAAAGGCAGCAACAGCAACAGTAATAGTAACAGTAATAGGAGCAGCAACAATAGCTGCACTCGTGAGCAGCAGCAACAACAGATCCAAAGACTTAGCAATAGCATAAAATTGCAACAACAACAGCAACAACAATATAGTAATAAGGAAAATACACTAAGAAGCGGCAAAAACAGCAACAGCGCTGCAACACAAGACAAAAATATCTTACACTATAATTATTGTAAATTACCTGAAGCCGCCGAGCCCAAAGTTGAGCCACAAACGAACAACAGCAACAGCAACAGCACCAACAACAATAGCAACAGCAACAGCGGCGGCAGTAAAAACAGCGATAACAGCAATTTGAAAATTGATTCACCGAAGTCGCAGAATAAAATGACAATTACGAACACAACGAATGTGGCAGCGGCAGCAACAGCGACACCGCCACAACAAAGCAAGCAAATCGAGTGTGGGTTGACAGCAGCAGCGACACAAACAGCCAAGCCAACACCAGCAACACGTCCAACAACGCCCTCTCGCCTCAAGACTGTGATCAAAACAACAATGGTGAAGCGTAGTCCTAGCCATGACTCAACCTCAGCAACATCGTCACACATGTTGCTGCCGAGCAGCTGCAGCAATGACAGCAACAACACCAACCGCACCACAAATGGATACAATGATGTGCGCGGGGATGAGCCGAGGCGGTCGGTGAAGGAACGCATTGCAGCTTATGCGGCAGGAAATGGTAAGCTTCCCCTCTCATTTCATTTTTGTTGTCTGCTTGTTTTTTTTTTTTTTGTGCAAAAGCCGCGTCATTAACTTTAGCGACTAAATAGCTAAGTTTCCCGCGGGCGGATTCGCGACACATTGGCGCTGTGGGAAAACTGGGCGCTGAAATTATGTTTCCTATTATAGTTATTAATTGATTCGAGCTCTAGATGTCAAATGGCTTGGGAAACTCTCGCTAGGCAGTAGTACATCCTCTTCCCACAGCAGTTCATCTGAATGAAGCCAACGGTCGAGTTGCGGATATGCATATACATATGTTTTATATTATCTATGTTCAGTTCCAAATTGAATAAAATAAAAAATCCCTCAAATCGGTGGAAACATAACAGTCCGTTTGGGGCTTCAGTCATTTAATCTTCTGATATCACTAGAGCAGGAGTGTATATCCCCCCGGGCATCTGTGAAGGTCAGGTTCATCACGTTATTTCCTCTGACTAAGTGTATTTTCCAATGACCTCAGTTAAATATGATCATCGGCAATTTTTTAATAAAAATCGCCTTAAATATCCATGTAAAATGTGCATTGAATTAAAGTCAATTAGAGACGATTAAGGCATAGCTTCAGGCACTGATTTAATAAAAGTAAACAAAAAACGTTGCGATTAGGGCGTGTTTATGAGTAATTCCTTATGCTGTTTAAGTTTTCTTTGCTTGCCGCACTGAAAACTTAAATAGCCAGCAATGCTTAGCTTAGCTGCAGTTGAATATTATGAATAATTTATGACGTATTCGATTCGATTTCCGTTAACACACACACCAGTACTCGTACATGCTCAGCAACACACATCGACATTAGAGACACAAGCGCACACTCATATTTTGACTGCAGTCTATTACAGATCAATTAAATGCCGCAATGTTTAATAAAAAGCCACTTAAGTCAACATGAAAACTCTCTAAGAAAACGTCGCTTGAAATGGTAAAAAGCATACATACTCTCATGTATCTGAATACTGTGAGCAATAATAATAAATTTATTAATAATGCGCGCCAATTGAAAGCATAAAACTCGTTAAAAAGGGGTTTTGGGTGCAGTTGCCGGACCTCTGCCACAAAACAAAGAAACCCATGCAACACACCCAACCAATACAGCAATACAGCAATACAGCAATACAGCAATGCACCAATACAGCAATATAGTACATCGACAACTTTGTCACCAGCCAATGCCAACTGCAAAGTGCACTTAATATGATTTGTTTTGCAAAGTTTTGATTGCGCGCAGCGAGCACAGGGCGTCAACATCATTATGAACATCATCATCATAATCATCATTTCCATCCATGTTTGCCATTGCAGTGCGTCTTGTGGCCAGCAGTCGCAGACCAAACAGGAAACACGTACCCATGAACGGTTCAACGTCATAAGCGCGTATTATATCATATTGATAGGCAAATGAGGCTTGAAAGCCAAGTCAGCCAGCCCTGTTGGGACAAGCCCTTAAGTAAAAGCCAAGCTCAAGTGACGCGCGGCTTAAGCCAACTTTGTCTTTACACGACAATGCTGATAATGCCGATGATGATCATGATCATGATCATGATCATGATCATGATGATGATGATAATGATAGTCTCATCCTGTTGCACACTCAACTGACGCACGTCAGCTTCGAATCTGGGTCCCAGTTACTGGCAATTGTCGAATAATGAGCGTGCAACCATGCCCCATGCCACATGCCCAAATCAAGAGCGGGTGCTCAGCTTCTACAGCACGTTTACTTATTTACTTATTCACTTATTGGACCTTTGTTTTGTTTCTTTATTTCACACACACACACACACACACACACACACACACACACACACACACACTCATACATATACACGCATTTGTTGTTGACCGCATTCGTCACTCGTCGATTGCAGTTTCTTTTTTCTTATGCGAGCAACAGCTGTGATCAGAGCGGCGTATCTGAACAATCAGATTGAGGTAGTCCCCAGTAAGTTGCATTCAGTTCGCCACTGTTGCTTTTGCATTTACTTGTAGAGAGCACGGGCAGTCACGCTTTATTTATTGTTTGTGAATATAAATTGGAAGGGAAATTATTTTTGTTCGTGCAAATCCTTTGCAAGGAAACAAAACGCTCCTAATTGTCCATTGCCAGTTTTATTATATAGATAATATGAGTATATGTGGATAATTGCAACGGTCTCCGAAATAAGCCACCTATTTGCCACTAGCCAATAAAATTCTCTGCTATTTAAACAACACACACTTCGTATTATAATATTTACTCTATGTGCTTCCCGCCTAGCTTGTGGAAATTGTTCGTACTTTTCAAACCCAATCAGAAATGTATATGCAACTTTACTTATATAATATTATTATTATTATATAAGTTATATTGTATTGCCAATTCTTGAATTGTGCTTTAAATCTGTATTTGGAAATATCGCCTCACATCTAATATGAATCCAAGTAAAAATGGGTAATCGTTTTCCCTTAATTTTTTTAAGTTTTCGTATTCTATATCAAGGTCAACGTTTTAATTTTTATTGCTTTCAAATTTTTTACGACTTAGAATACTGAACAATGAGAAAATGAAGAAAGGAATCTATATAATATATATATTATAAAAATTCACAAGTCAAAATCAACCACTTTGCGATACAAAAAAAGATTTTTCTGCTAGTATGTATAAGTTTATCACCGGACTGCCAGCTTCTTAACAGTTTCCTAGATCAAACTAGAATAGAATATCAAAATAATTGTGCTTTCTGCACACCCATCAATGTTCTGGTATCCTTGCCCTCAACTAAATCTCTCTGGCCTAGATAAATAAGTGTGCGAGACAATTGTCACAGCAAGCTGACAATTTGCTTGTTTGATTTCGCTTTTTGCCATTTATTTAAGTGCTCATGTTTTCAATTAGGTACTTCGGCTTCGGCCAACAACGCCTTCTGATTGGCTTCGAATGCCCTCCCCTGCCGGACACCTTTTCGTCCACGAGCAGCAATAAACAATTAATCACGTTGAAGTGACCTCAGACCGCGAATCAATCGGTAAACATCAGCAGCAGCCGCAACCTACAATAACAACAACAACAACAACAACAACATACACACACACTAACCGTGCAACCGAGCACAACATCTGGACAGTGGCTATTTAGCTGGCGCACCCAGCAAACAGTTTTATTTAAAGTAAATACGGTTTCTCTGTTTTGTTGAGCTTAGTTTTCTTTTGTCTCTTTGCAATGCTTTATTTGACTGAGCGGCGAGAGCTGAGTGCTGTACAAGGGGTTGGCTGAGGTTGACATAAAGTCGGAAATTTATAGACGACAATGAAATAGAACAAAAGCGGCCTGTCAACCAAGGTTCGAAGATACTTTTGTCACTTGTCCGATAATTAAATGGCTAAATTGGCACATATGTGTTGCCATTTGCGGGATCGTATTGCTGCGCAATTTCGCAAATCTCTCGTACTCATGAATTGGCATCGATTCGGAGACCTCCCATGAACTTTCAACGCGCCTCCCACACACAACACACACTGTCGTACATATGGGCGCAGTGATCGGCGCCCTATTGCCAAATAAACCGTTGCACGATTGAAATGCAGCCAAAAGCAGAAGAAAAGCCAGCGAAAACTGTAGTAGAGTATGGGCCTGGCCCGTCCTGCCAATCGCCACAAAACGATCAATTGGGCAAACATTCAAACTCGAGCTGCTCTGGCCCATGCCAGGCCAGGCCAGGCCAGACCAGGCCAGACCACCATAAAATGTTGCCAGCTGTCCAAGTGTCTGACGGACTCGTTTGTGCCGCTGATTTACGAGCTCGGCATGAGCCTCGCGACTCAGTTGTGTAACGCATGCGATTCAGAATTTTTAAACGCGCGCCTACCGGCCCAACTGCTGCCAAGTCCCAGGCAACGGCGGCGAAGACGGCGACGACGACGACGACGCGACGGCTACGTTTTAATCAAAAAACTCAATCGAACGCACGCATGCGCAATAAAAACAAAATAAAATCAAAGCAATAAAACCAACAGCGAAAAACTTTAACCGTTTCACTTACGTACTTACACACACTACGAGTATATATGTATATATACAAGTATATACACATTAACAAACATTCAACAGAGACCGGCATGTCGGTCTCACCGCGTTCTGTTTGGCGTGGCATCGAAGGTGACGATGGCGACAATGGCCATTCGTGGCCACCGCTGCGACGCCAAAAAGTTCACTTGAACTTCTGATACGAATTCAAATAGGGTTGCTGTTGTTGTCCGATGTTTGTACGTCTTGAGTTATTGAGAAGAATTCGGAATGTGTGGGTAGTGAAGGAAAGTTTGAGAATACTTCCATTTGATTTATTAGTTAATGTAAGCAGGAGTGGGACTAGCTAGAGAAAAGGCAAAAAATCGTTGCAAGCTCTGTTCCCTTGTTTGTTTTATAAGAATTCCCGATAATGTTATTGCAAACAGCCACACATTTGAAATATGAGGATAACTATATGGTTTCCATTGGTTCACTTAAGATATTATCAAAAGTAGAGTTGACAAATTTTCCCCCCATTGGAATCTTTTGTAGCAACAGAACTAAAACACATATTTTGAAATTTTTATTTGAATTTATTCCTGGCTATCTATTTCAAATTCTTGGCTATTGAACTCAGCATGCTGTATGTTTGATAATAATTACTATCCAATAATCGGTGTGATCAAGTAATTGTCGTTTGTTCTCTTGTGCAGACCTAATAATAAAGTCAAAGAGCAGCAGAAGGGAGGGTAATAAATTTAAACAAGTAATTGCGCATAATTTATGGCAATCTAAAAAAATTAAAACATTTCGTTTCACAAAAAAATAATCGCACATGTGCAGATACACACATACTCGTACATACGTATATGTTTCGAAATTTATGACAATTTAAATGGCACACATTTGGCGCACAATTTGAGGCGATTAGCGCAGAAATTTTCGCGCATTTGGCTTAAGCAGCCAAAGCCAAAAGCACATGCAATGGCAATATTAACAACAACAGCAGCATCAGCCATTGCCACATGTGGCACATATGGTGGCTGCTGTTGCACATTTGGCGTAATTTTTCAATTCCAGGCGACACACAAAAAGCTCGCCAAAAACGGCCAAGTAATAAAAAATAAATATGTGTGCATACACTCGTATGAAAACAGATTTTTATTTTCTGGGCGCGCCATTTTGCGAGGTGTTAGCGGCGACAAGCAACATTACACGAAATATGAACAACATGTTGCAGCAACCATGCCGCAATAATTGCGGCAATTGTGGGCAACAGCTTATTTTTTACTGAAATTATTTTCAGCATGCCATGACAATGACAGCTTCATATAGTGTGTTTAAGAAAATGCATTTCAGATAAATTGCTAACCGTGGTTTCTTCCTTACAATTCTAATTGCAGAACAACAGCAGCAGCAGCAGCAACAACAACAAAACGGCGCCGGGCGGCAGCATGACAACAACAACGGTCACTTTAAGAAATTTACTAAAATTCAGTGCAATAAAAATCAAAATAACATGACAAGCGATGTGAAAAGTGCAATTAGTAGTGGCAGCAGCAGGAACGGTGGCCAACAACAACATCAAACGCTTATCAACGGCAGCAGCAACACCGGCATCAGCAATGGACGAGCAACGCCATCGCCTCCAGCTCCAGCAGCAGCTCCAGCAGCAGCAGCAACCATAGCAACAGCAGCATCAACCAACACGTCACTTTCCGCCGTGGCTATCGCGGCTGACACGACGCGCTACAAATCGGGATTAAGTGATGTGGCAGCAACAGTTGCTGATGATGAAGCTGCAGCAATAGCAACAGCAACAGCAACTTCATCCAGCATCCCACTGCCGGCAGCTGCCAGCGTTTTTAGCACCGGTTGTGCAACTATGCCGCGTACTCGGCTCACTCAACGCGCCGGCAATTTGAGCGGCGAGTGCAATGGCGAGAAATACGGAAGCAATGCAGCAGCCATGACAGTTGATAACAAATTCTTGGGCTCGACACCAGACGCCAACACTTCAAGTGCACATCAGCATCAGCATTATAAGCTGCAATTTTCCGATAAGTGCGCGGCCAAGTTGGCTACTCTCGAAAATCTCGACTTGGCGCGAAGTCTTGACTTGATAGATGATGACAGCGATGATCCATATGGCATAATGGAGGAGTATTTGGAGCGCGTGAAGGTAAGTCCTCCACATCCAATAGATATTCCATAAGTCTAGTTGAAAACGATCTCCTTCTTACTACGATGAATAAAAAAGAAATTGTGTCAGGGTGACACGCGATAGAAGTGAAGGTTAGATTGGTAAAGGGAGCCATTATCATTACTCTACAATAGTTGATGGATAATGTATATTTGGCTTGAAAAGAATGGCTAGCAAATGGTTAAAGCTGTCAGAAAATCCCCTAAAAATGACTAGAAAACGCGCTAGAAAATGTTTAGAAACACAACTACAAGTTAAGGTACAATGACTAGAAACCCTGCTATAAATAACAAGGAATGCAAATTAGAAAAGGCTAGAAAACTCATTATACATGGATGAAAACACAGCTAGAAATTGATACACAGCCGGTAAAAATATCTGAGAAATTGATAGAAAATACGCAAATGGCTAGAAAATCGACGGAAATTAGATAGATGATTTTTGTTTACATTCATAATCTCTCTTTCGCCAACTGGTCTACTTACTGTTCATTTATGTGTGCCTGTTACCGTGCTATTGATTTCATCACAGAAAAGGTTGCCGATCCAGTATTCACAGCCCACACATAAGAAGTTGCACTTCCAAAAATCGTTTGGCTTTTGGCATATTGGCAAGAATATGTTGGTTACAAAGAATCCAGTATGTATAGTAAACAACAAATATTGCGAATTGTGTAAAACGATCAAGCTCTGCTTTCGAATCCGCCATTCTTCCAGTTTTCTGAGAAACCTATCCAGCTCGCATCCCTCCCTAGTCTACACTGATAGAATATAGGCGTGTGTTCCTGTGGTTTTGGAATCAATGGAGACTGACTAGAAACTTTTGTGGCCAGGCATTCGCAGAACCATAAACGCAGCGACAACGTAGCAACAACGACGTTGACTGCGTGTTGCTTCCGCCATGAGCAGCGCCAACAAGCAGCAAAATATTGCGGCATCAACAACTAATACTACAACAACAACAACAGCAGCAAACAATACCAAAACGCAGCTACGAAAAATTCATGTGAAACAGTTATAAAAATACAAAAGTACAACAAGAGCCAAGCGATGGCCAGCAATGACGATGATGATGACGACGCTATTGCTGTTGATGTGTGCTTGTAATATCGCGCTTTCCGGTACAGAAACATAAAATTTTATGTACAGCAACACAAGGCAAGCGACGCGTGCAACTCGACATATGCGTCACAAACGCGCGCACACACACATTGACATTTACAGAGGCTCCCATATTTGTTTTAACACATTTTTCTGTCACGCAAAATAATCATTTGCAAAATCACGCCGCTTTCTTGTTGACAGTCGAACACTGAAGACACCGCCTAGGCAGGGGTAGGGGCAGTGACCAGCCAGTGGCGAAATGTGTGATGGGCAGGCACAGCGCCAGTTCTGTCTCTTATCAACCATTGCTGCATATTTCCTGTTAAAAAGCATGCCATATACGAGCACATAATTGAATATAGTCACTCAGCAAGTGGGGCCGTCTGAGTCCGTTCCAAAAAGTTATGCAAGACACAGTTTTTCTCAGCTAATTGACAAGTTGTCGGGGTGTGAAAATTTGCATTCGCTGTATATCCGATGAGTCTTTCAACTTATTTCCAAAAATATTTCAATTAGACTGCATCAACAGATGTGTTCCAATAAACACCATCTCATACCAAGAAAATTTCAGATATTTCGAGGCGGAAAAATGTTTGTAGCTGGCAGTCAAAAAGTTCGAAAATCTTATTGATTCAAATTATCAAAGTCAGCATTTTCCGAGACCAAAATGAATTTCCTTTGCGGAAATCTACTTGTAACTACCTAGAAAAGAGCGTTTTTGGAGTGTCGAAAATACTATAGAATTAATAAAATGATTGCAAGTGATTTAGTTTTAAATCGGATTTCACTTGGTTTTCGTCAATCACGAAAAGCGAAAACATGACAACAATTTGATTGTCTTTGCAATATTTATACATACGTTTATGAGTTTCTGAAATTTTATGAGTGAAGAAGTTCATCACTCCAGTGTAGAATCAGAATGATTTTCATCTTCTTTCAGCAATCCTTGCTTGCATGAATCCCAGCACTGATAATATCGATAGCACATGGTACACTAGGGCTGCGAAAAGAATCTTTTCAGAATCGGTCTAATCGATGCCTTTTTGCTAAGAATCGATGGATCGTATAAAGTCAAATACACACTTGATATGGCACATAATTACTACTTGAGAGTGACGCTGGCAATCAGGCATTGCCAGCCATTGAAAATGTGAATAAATCGCAAAAAATCGGAAAGGTCGGTGCAGTTACCATTGATCGTTTTTGCAGTTCTATGGTTTTTCATTGATGCCACTAAGACGATAAAAATAATCATATTTACTCAATTGTGCGTGCCACTAGGTCTTGGCTATTTGATATGCTCTATTATACACACATATTATAATCAGTGTCATCAGCTCAACACCCGCCAACGGCACACTAAACACCCCACTCCTCCGTTTAGTTACTAAGCTGCCTTGGCGTGGGCTCAAGCCGGCCGTTTTAATGCTGACGTTGGCCTTACTTATGGCTATTAACGCCTTTTCCATATTCCATACTTTTCTATGCGGCTAATTTTTTGGCTAAATTGAAATTATTAGCCGGCAACTGTGGCTAATGATGACAAAATGTGTCACAGCGCTGCCTACGCGGCTCGTGAACTCGGGGACTGGCGGACACATGGATTCATGGACTCATGGATTCGTGCGCTTTCTTTTGGAGCGTGCGCGTTTATTATGACAAATAGTGCAGCACTTTAGTTCAAATTGCCGTTACTCATAAGACGCTTGTTTGTGCGTTGCCTCCGATGACTGTTGTTGCTGTTACTGTTGTAGCTGGGGCGTCGCTGTAATGGCCTTAGACAGCGGCAGGCTTAATTTGCTTAAACGCATGCCGGCCCGCGAGTTATGAAATGCGTTGGAGGCGCTCGCTGGCTGGCGTGTAATCGCTGCCTGACCCATTTTGGCTGAGCTAGCGAAGCGTGCAACACACCTAGTCGACTCTAAATACACACACGTATACATACATGTGTATTTGTAAATGAGAAGTTGTGTGTGTCTGTGTATATGTTTTTTCAATGCAACAAGACAGCTGCTGTTTTGCGCTAATTTGGCTTGTCGCGCTTCCTGCATCAATTAGCGTTTTGGCTTCGCTAGTTGCTTACGCGCCAAAGTGGAGATTTCTCATATCGCGTATATAACACACTATTTTGCTGGTCACTCTACCAGCCAGCCAAAGAAACAACAACAACAACAAAGAAGCATAATTGGCGCTCGTCAACGTAAAGCTTAATGCATCAATCAAGCTTTCAGCGTCTAACGTTTTATTGAAAATCAGATAGAGGCCGCACAAGCTCTCGGAGCAAATGGAATTGCTTAAGCGGAGGCAAGCCAGGCAAGTGAAATGCTTTTAGTTTGCGTGAGTTCTACAATGATTTTAATTATAGATACTGGATGATTATAAGGCAGAGCGTGCTGAAATGAAGACGTAAAGATCAAATAATAGACAGTTGCACCCTTTCATGCCCAAGTTCAGTGAACCCATCCAACTCACATTTATACATACATACATATGTATATGTATATGTATATGTATGTACGTGCATACAAGTATATCAGTACAGCAGTATTGGAAAGTTTTGCGCGCCCAAAAGTAGACAAATCTACAGAAACAAAGAAACGAACAAAATGATTGCCAATTATGCGATGGCTGCTAATGAATGTGGGCGCGCATGCGCGCAGCTTGCGCCTTAATTTATCTATAACTTTATGCAATGCATCGCTAATCTGCGCCTACCAGCTGCCTACTACGAACTGCCAATTGCCTACAGCCAACAGCGAGAAAGTTGTCTTTGCCCAATTTGCAAATACGAGCGGCGCAAGGCGCGCGCTTGACGTTTTTTGTCAACCGAAAGCCAAAAGACGTCAAAAGCTACAGGCAAACAGCAAACAAATGGCAATAAAAGGCAGCCTGCTGCCGTTGACAAAAATAGTAACATGGAGCAGGCACAGGCACAGGCACAGGCGCAGGAAAAGGCACAGACACATCCACCAAAGGAGTTGTCCATACGCAGCAGCTGCAGCAGAAAACAGTCAGGCAGACAATAAACCAGAAATGTTCAGCGCCAAATGAAGTCAGAAAATCAAAAAGCAAGCAACAGGCAGCGACTACATCGGCAACATGATGCCTGAAACATGCGCAAAAAGTTGCCAGTGTCATTCGAACAAATCAAATGAAAGTGAAGCGACATTGGCAACAACTTCTACAATTTCACTACGTGAGCGCACAACAATCATAATTGCAGACAGCAATTAAGCCGCCGTCAAAGCTGCTGCTACTCCTGCTGGGGCAATTGCTCGAGTTGCAGTCCCAGACACAGTTCCAGTTGCAATGGCTATGGCAGTGGCAGTGGCAGTGGCAGTTGCTGCCGTTTTCAACACCGTTAGGTTCATGGCTGCCGTTGACAATGCGTTGATATTTTCCGACAACCAAATCAGCAGCAGGAGTTGCAGCAGCAAGACTTGCCACAAAATTGCGCCAATTTGCTGGCCTGTTCACAGACATGTCTCTGAGCTTCTGGAGCTGGACTTTCTTTTTGCGCGATCTGTGCGGGGTCTGCGTCTACCTTTTTCTCAATTTGTTGGGCAAATCTCAAACAAAAGTGACATAAAGTAGCTGCGAATCCGCTCGAGCGTTTGGAAAGCGCAGCCCACTAAGCGAATGAAATTCATTTGTAAACTCTTCACTTTTGACACCTTTGACGTCTTATAAAAGGCATGATACCAAAGGGGGAACAACGCTTTATTCCACACATATTTCGCAACTTATGGCCAAGCGCCTAAAGGGGACTTTCTTAAATTAAACACCCAGACTGGCAAGGGTGAGAGTTTCTTGACGTCAGGCCCGAAGAATCATTTGAACACAACGGTTATATAACACAACAGTTATATACAACGATCGCATTCCTTCAATAGTTAAATGTTTAAATTGATTTCTCTAAGACAAAACAGTTGTGCGAAATGTTTCGGAATATATGCTAGAAGACTTTGATTTTTCACAACTTGGGACAACATTTCAAAATTGTTGAGATAGTTTGTAAAGATGTATTTTTAAAGAATTTTGTAACTTCGAAATTGTGCCACCAAAAGCCACTTCAACTACGTATAGAATACTTCTGGACCTGCATTGTGTATGGAAGAATTATTAGCGCCATATCTTTTCTTAAAAGAATGAGAAGAGTGTAAACTTTTATCTTTAACGATTCATTTCTAGTAAATATTCATAGTAATACATTCAATAAACACACCATAGATTTTTCAAGAAATTAAGAAAAACTGTTGTAATGTCATTATTAGAAGGAATACTAGAAACTATCAATTTTTATACCTACTGTTGATCTATACAGTGCAGATAGGCATTCGCTCTAAACAATCATCGAAATGAAGAAATAATTTTCTGCTTTAATGCTTATTAAGCAATTAAGAAGAATTTAAAACGGTATTAAATGAAATAAAACTATTCCCTAATCTGTAATTCCTAAAAATGAACGTTTATATATGTATATACCCAGCTCAAAATCGTTGACAAATTCCAAACCTACTGCGCATGTGCGCACGAGCGTTGCTTGACCGACCGGCTTCAAACGGCACTCGAAGTGTCATTGCCCAGCATTTGGGTTGCGTTGCTGCACTGTTTTTTTACTGCTCGTAACCATAAAAAATTGTAGCTCGGAACTTGAAGTGCCATTCAAATTACAATGATCTTCGTGTGGTTTGTGAACTTTTTGAAAACGTCAAGCTACTACTACGGATGAAAAAGCCGAGCAGTTGCGCATCTGCTTAACATTTCGTTCGAGGCATTATTTAACCAATTTGTTGTTGGCTGTCCAACGACCTTCAATGGTCATTTGCAGCACAAGAAAAAAAGAAGAAACATTAAAAAAAACTCTTGAAGCTATGCCGATTGGGCATCCGTAGACTCCACTTTTCAAACACCCCAAATATTTTGACATGGCTGATGGGCCCCAGTCTGCGTCGGGGTCTGTGTTGGGGTCTGGGTCTGGCCAATGGTCAATGTCAATGTCAGAGATTTGTTGAAATGGAAAATTTGGATGTAACAGCGGCAGCAGCGCAGCTTAAAATTTGTTTGATATTTAAGGTTCAATGCTTGCTAATAAGCCGGGGCTCATGATTGATGTGTGTGTGCGTGCTGGTTTCTGGGGATTACATGCCCGACAAGGTAATGTTGTCGAAAAACTGACGATTGACCTTTGTTTCGGGGCTTTAATGCTGTTTCTGCTGCGGCTGCTGCTGCTGCTGCTCTTGAGCTCTAGCAGTTCTATCAATGCATCTGGCCATGGGCATATCTGCGCCCAAGCATCTGTGAGACACGCCCGCGATCAGTGCAGCTGCAAGGCGTAGACAATGCTGATTGCATTTACCGATAAATTAACCAGCCAATGAATACAATTAAATGAGAGAAAAAGACATAGCCAGAGTAACAATCGGAATCGAAGCCTGAGTCTGAGTCGGAGTCGAAGTCGAAGTCATGGCCAGGCAAGGGCACATTCGTAGGTCTAGAATCGCTTCTCAAGGGCAACGCTGTAACCTTCGATTGGAGCTGTTACTGTTGATTTTTAAAATCAATTGCATGCTTTAGTATATTTTTGAAATACATTGAATTCATGTTGACCCTTTGTGTGTGCTTACAACAATGATTGAGTGCCCGAGTAATGGCAACTAAAAAGCTTACGAACTAGAAAAGCTGCTCAGGAAGGAGGAAGAGCTGCATGAAAACCACCATATTGCCTCTCATTTACATATCGAAATTGGCATAATCAGTGTCTTCCGTGTCATTGCCAATGCTCGCATTGCTGCCATTTGAATCCTCGTCGCTGTCGGCGCGTCTTAATTGTGTCTCGCGGGGCCTCTGCTGTGGCGTTTTTTGTTGCACCACCGCACCACTGTAAGAAGTTTTCACCTGCTGGCCCATGACTGGATCGGCCATATAACGCAAACGATGCTGCACTTCGGCCTCTTGTTGCCGCCGCAGCTGTTGCAGCAGCAACTGTTGCTGTGAATTTGTTGACATTGATCTTGTCGAATGTAATCTATTAGCAGCCTGTCTAGCGGCCGTTGCAAAAGTTGTGCCTCTGGCTAGACCAGGCCAGTGGGCGCCCTCGACTGCAGCAGCAACATCACCACCAACAGCACCACCAACACCACCAACACCAGTATCGTCCGTTGTCGTTGCTGCCAATGTTGCTGCGGCTGACATTGATGGCTTGACTGATTGATCGTAACCATTAATTTTATGCGTTGACATTCTTTGTGGCAATTCCTCGCCGCCAGCACCGCCGCTACCTCCACTACCATTGATTTCATTAGCAACAAGTTGTTGCCCCAACTTCTGCTGCATTTGCGATGGCTGCTGCAATTTTCTTTTCATTTTCCCCCAGATGCGTTGCCAGGCGACGGCCGCTGGCGGCTGCACGTGCGTCCGCTTGCCGCGATTGGGAAAGAATGGATCGTCGAGATTGTAAATATCACGTAGTTTCAACTTTTTGCCACGGTTGGGAAAGAACGGGTCGTCCACTTTAAAGAAATCTCGATTCTTCTTGCCGCGATTCGGAAAAAATAGATCGTCATACTTGAACAGATCTTTGACTTTGTCGCGTTTGCCGCGGTTGGGGACAAAAGTCTCGTAGCGCTGCAGAAGCGCATCCAAGTCGGGCGAGTTGTGCTTTCGACCGCGTGGCGGTATAAAGGGATCGTCCTCAAACTGCTGATCGTCTGCCGAAGAGAAAAGAAAGAACATGTGGAGGAAACTGTCAGCACATGTTGTACAGCACGTGACGTTATGTCAGTCGGCGACCATAATAATGTAATGCGTTTCACAACAGCTTCACACATCGTTTGTGGAGCAAATGCATGATCGGTGGGCTTCAGACATGCCATTATATGTGAAAAATACCACGCCCCAAAATCTCACATCTGCCGCAAATAGTCAGACAGACCAATGCCTTATACGATAATGGGCATAAATGAGTTCATAAAATTATTCATATATTCTTTTGAAGTTGTAAATAGTAACTAAAGACTAAACTTCATCTTCTAGGCGACATTTCTGAAGCAACTCAACCAGAAACCCCAGAAAAAAAAATTTCCTATAAATAGTAACAACTCACCGCTCAAGTCCTGTGACTTTTCACGTCTAACAATTACGTAGCGCGGCTCATCCACAATTAGTGGCGGCTCGAGATGTCCCGACAACTTGAGTTTTTTCCAAATGAACATACCCGGGTGATAGTAATCGGCCGCACTCTCGCTCAGATTGCCGCCTGGCACCTGGAAGGGATAGAGTAGCTTCATCGCCCAATGCAGAAACTTTATGAGGTCCTGCTCTCCATGCAGTAGCATGAGGACCTCATTGTTGATGTCCTCATCGTAGTCGGCTTCGGTGTATCGCTCAGAATTGGCGGCTTCTTGATCGGCTGCAATATCATCGGCCGATGAGGGATAAGATGATCCGAACTGCTGCTCTTTCTGGCTGGCATTCAGTCGATGCAAGCGACTCAGCCTAGCTGCTGTGTCTCTGGGGAGGAGAAGAGGAAGTGGTGCATTGTTGTCTGATACTAAATTGCTCGTAATTCTATAATTTGTGTCTGCTGCTCAGAATTAATGTGCGAGTCATGAGTCTCCGGGGTGTGTGCGTTTCACGAGTATTTGTGTATGTACTCGTATTTGTATTTGTTTAAGGATATACAAGTATCGTTGCTTTGAATTCATTCGGGCAGACTAAGGTAACATTTTTCTTTTCGAGTTCAATGCGTGCGTGGGCTGCTTTGGTTTTTAAATCACGCATTTTGTTGCGTCTTTTCTGAATGTTTTACAAATTTTTTGGGCGCGTTTGGGTATTGAAAAGCAGACAACGCACAATGTCTGTCACAAATATTGATGAACATGCGTGGCTATGTGGGTCGCGTCTGTGAATTTAGATGGGACTGACCTAGAAATTAACTCAATTGACATGCAGGATTATGCCCCAGCCATGGCCCAACTAATCAAAATCATTTAAAACAATTCCCCCAAAACTAACAGAAGTACGCGTAATTGCCGAGCAAAATTAAAAATTTAAATTGAACACATCGGCCAATGAGCATGAGGGCCTAAAGCCAATTAATCAAGCAGTTAACAAACAACGTGGGACATCTCTTGAAGCAAGCGAACATGAGAAATAATATGATTAATTGTACTTTAATGGCACCCTGTAACAATTTTTCATTAACGCAACACAGCAAATAAAAAGCATTGAGCATTAAAAATTAAATGCAAATTACAAGCCAAAGCATTACATGATTTATAGCACGCCGGCCCAGCACATATTTCTCGCTTCTAGAGTCGCGCAGGCGCCTGCCGCTTATTGTGAATGAAAAGTGAAACTTGCAGCTCGCCAACGGGCCATTTAATGCAACCTTAGTTGCTTTATGGTTCAGATATGCTTGTTTTCGGCTTGGGGGGCAGTGTATTTTTGCTGACAGTTGTTATTTTATAAAATAAATCAACACCGACTGGCCGCCTTGCCAGCCAAGCACATATGCCCGGTGACGACTTTGAACAGTGGTCTGAGCAAAATGTAAGGAAAGGCGTTCCCTTTCACGAAGCACCGACATCGGAATACACTTTCATATATAGCAGGCAACTCCTCAGATTCCCTCTCTTGTGAACTGCCTCTGTCAATTCCTACTATTAGTCCTTCAGTAGAGCTAACACTTAATGTTAATTATTATTTAACTTCTTAATATATTATTTTGGTATAGTTGATAAATAAGGATGCCTCCCAGAAAAGGTAGGTTGCTGCCAAACTGCTTATAGCATTAAATATCCGATATTCAAAACTGATCCAAAAACTACCTTTCGCTGATAAACTGAAAGCCATACAGTTTTCCCTGGTGGTGGGAATACCCACTGCCCATTGTCCATTTGGCAGACACGGCGCCATACTTGGCATCTCATTCAATCAATTCTGCAGAAATTACAGAGAAGAAGAAGAGGAGGGAAGCGTAGAGCTCCTCCACTATCCTGTACTAAGCAGGAACAGGTGCTTTGCTCTAGAGGAACGCTTTCTTAACAACCCCACGGAGATAGCATAAATCGAGATTGTACAAATAGTTCATTAGCTAACCTGGTGCTGAAAGGCAGACCTATAAGCCAAAGGGATTGTATGGCATCGCAAAGGACCTCTAAGGTCTAATTGGATGAGTGAGCACCATCGCTCCAGTCCAGCCCATGCAACCTAAGCTAACCTAACTGAAGGAACTTTCTGAAATGCGTACATTTTGATTTAACTTTTCATAATTAGTAACATATCTCTTCCACAAACTGGTCCACAGTGCGTAAATATTTTTATACCCTGTACCCAAAGGGTACAAGGGTATATTAGTTTAGTGCGAGTGCACATGGAACACACAGAAGGAGGCTTGGTAGACCCCACAAAGTATATATATTCTTGATCAGCATGACAAGCCGAGTCGATATAGCCATGTCCGTCTGTCCGTCTGTCTGTCCGTCTGTCCGTCTGTCTGTCTGTATGAACGCAAGGATCTCCGAAAGTATAAGAGCTAGAATAACCAAACTTGGTATACAGATTCTCCTGAGACCGAGAAAGGACGAGTTTGTTCATTTTTTCTGATCCACCCCCCCACTCCCCCCCTATTAACGATTTTCTATAACTCCCGTAATTCTTGGAATTTTGAACTAAAATTTGGTAGTCACATTAGGTTAGTAATTATATAACCGTATACCAAGTCTCATTATGATAGAATGATCGGAAAGAAAGTTATAGCCATATAACCAGGCTCAATGCACACATACATATGTACAAATACACAAACACGCATAGACACGATTCTGATGTAATTGTAAATGTATGTATGCATGCATGGAATATTTTATATTTAATTAGTTAATATTTAGTTAATTAATGAAATTAATTTAGTTAATTAATTTAATTAAATTAATTAATTAATTTAATTACTTTTTTGTGGGGTGGTACAGGGTATTTAAGAGTTGAGCCTGCTCGACTTTAGCATTCCTTTCTTGTTGATTATTAACATGGACTTTGCAAAATTGCACTTGGGTCTTATTATATTATATCTAACTAAGTTATAGAATCATAATTCTCGTATAGAGTAATAATATGATTTCCTGCACTCGTTGGGATGCTTTTTCAGTTTTTCTAAGAACTTTCTCTATCTGTGCTGCAGTAGCAAAAGCCACAATTGTGTGACAAATTTCATAATAAATCGGCAACACTCTTTCTGCCAAGGCCATAAAAGTTTGGACTCTGCTGTCGTCCGTCGGCTGTCGCTTGTTGTTTTGTCTTGTCGGTTTGTTTCGATTTTTTCACGCCCATTAATTGCTTTTGCGTGTTTTGGCCGACAGGCAAAACGCTCACAAGCTTTTGTTCATTTTTTGTTTTTGTTTTTTTCGGCTTTTTTACTTTTTTGTTACTTATGTTTATCCACTGCACTCAATAAAAAGGGTTAAACTTAATGCGATTGATAAATTGCAAGCTCGAGTGAATTGTCTTACTACGAGTATATAAATGCGATGAGCCACTGCCGCTTTCACACTTGCCACGAGAAAGTTTTCATTACAACGCTTTCTCGTGCCTGGGACAACCTTGAGCACACAGACAGAGAGTAGGATAGTGGGGTGGAGCAGCAATTAAGTTAGGCACCACCCACCCACACAGCTCACCTGGCCGCCAACGCGTCATGATAATATTCCTGCGAACAATCCTGGCCATCTGCTGTTCCTTCGGCCCGGCACCGTTGGACCCAATATTTGAAAGGCTTCCCGTATTTTTGCGGTTTGTCGTCGAAGTGAAGTAGACTCGCAATTTCCTGCGGCGCTGATTGCTTTGCCCCCGCCTCTGAATCGAACATTCCATCGCTCAGCGTTTTTCGATTAAAATCCGCAGGCTGCGGTTCAACCGCAACGTCAGCATCATCATCATCGTCGCCTTGGACCGTTTGTACCAAATCCAGCAGGTTGTGGGATGCCTTACCACTCAGGCTGGACGGCAGTGGAGTAGTCCAGTGGCCGTCGTCACGGCCATTGCCACCAAAGTTGTCGAAGAGGATGCGAGCATCCTTTTTCCAACGCAAGGGCGGCGTCAGCTCCACGTCCAACTCGCGCTCGTGCTCTTGACGCTCCTCCTGCTGCTGCTGCTTTTGTTGTTGCCTCAAGGCCGCCACATCGGCGATAAGCGATGGTGGCAGAGATAAGACTACGTTGCCGTGGCCGTTGCTGATGCGGCCGCTGCTGCAATAAATTGCAAACCAGGCGCATATCAGGGCAAGCGTGAGCCTCATTCTGGCTAGCTGGCTGCTTGGATGGCTGCTTTGTCTTGGCCTGGCAGCTGGTGGCCGAGCAGCTGTCGTTGCCTTGTCCTGATGTCTGATCTGTCTGCTCTGTCTGCTCTGCCTGCTCTGTCTTGTGTTCCACTTCCAAGTCGGTCTCACTTAGGAACCGCTGCCAAGTTGCTCCTGCTCTTGTGTTATACTCATAGAAACTGAAAGTTGCTGCCCGGCACTGCGTCTTTTTATATGCGTTACAGTTTTGGGAATAGCTTCAGTCCTGAACACGAGCACGGGTCCCGCGTACATGGATGTGGGTGTGTGCTCATGTGGTCATTGTTTGCAGTACGCGTCGTAGCATGAAATTAAAAAACAAAATGTATTTGTCGAACTGGGAAATATGAGAGTTTTCCTAAAGGAAACCCATTGCTGATTGTTTCTAATTTTATTTCATATGCCCATCAGAGCACCACCATCAGAGCATCTGTAATGTTTTTTATTTGTTCCAGGCGGGGGTCTGGACACGAAAATTGAAATGAATATTATATTTTAAAGTTAAGGGAGTCGAAACAAGTACCATATTTGAACAGTCAAAATATAGCATATATAAAAGGACCGACAACGAAAAAAGTGCAAATAGAATTGACATTATTGACAATTGAAAAAGTCCGATAATTATGCCCCATTCTTAGCAAAAGTAGCAGTGGAAGATGACTGTTCTGGAATGGAGCTTGTTTTCAACAACTTCGAACATTCTCGTATCTAGGCTTAATCTTCTCACGCGACTTTGTGATAAAATCAGAGCAAACACCAATTACCAGTCTTCTACACTGGCGCTTTCTTTGTGCCTTCCTTCGACCCTTCGAGCCTACAAATTTATTGCCTGCTAATGTTCGATCGCTTGCTCCACCGTCTGTGCCACATAACAACGGCACCAACAACAACAATAGTTACCTCCACAAGGGGCAACACAATTGTTGAGTAATGAGTACTGCACGTTATTAATGTCACTGCCTTCTCCAGCACCCTCTTCGCTCTCCCGTTCTCGAGTCGCCTGCACATTTATATCTTCGCTCTGGACCACGTTTTTAATTAAGTAATTCGTTGACTTTGTTAGGGCACCATGGCCTCTAGGGACCAAAGTAGCCTCAGCAACGATCGTCGATCTTCAGCTCTTCTCAGCTCATCTGTTTTTGTTCCGTTTCGGTTTTGTTTTGTTTTGTTTAATCTAAGTAACAAATTGCTTCATTTCAATTTATTTGCATTTGTTGCTTGTGCTGCTGCTGCTGCTGCGGCTGATGATGCTGCTCTTCGACATGGTCGTCGTGGATGTTGTTTCAAGTTCGTGGCTGCACTTTTTGTTGTCCCGCTCTTCGAATGGAGCATGAAAAGCCGAGCCTGGCTTTGCGGTCGTGTTCTAATTTATTTGTCTTTGATTGTGCTTGGCCCATGCTGCAGCATATTGTGGGTTCTTGTGTGTGAGAAATTGTTTGTCGTGCCTCGTTCTGAGGCTTTCGTTATTTCTTTCTTCTATCCGGTCTGGCAAATTAAGCAAACATGCATCATCAGATGACAGCAGAGACAGCGGCGATGGTGGCACATTAGAAATCGTGGCGCTTAAGGGAAGCCGCAGCTCTAACAATTAGTAACAGCTACTGTAGCACTCAGAAATAGCTATGGTTCTTGTCAATCTACTATTTCTATAGAAAATTTAAAGAAACCTAAAAAATTTTAAATGTTAAAATTTATATAAAGACCTCATATATTTCATAATGCAATTTTTGATCAATTATATAATAAGGACTCAATACTAAAAGGTTGATTTTAAAACAAATCCTAAAACATTCTTAATCATTTTGTTTGTCTACAAGACCTTTTCAAATTATATCTTCTCTCCATTTAATTATCTGCAGCTCGAAATCAACGAAGTGTTTGAATTGAGGAAGGCGCAGCGTCTGCAACAAATGCTGGCAGAGCGTCTGCAGGCGGCAAAGGAGGAGCATCAGCTGAATGGAAATGACAGTGCCATGCTTGATGACTCGTCGCGTTCTACAGAATCAGATAGTGAATTGGACAGTTCTGCAACTTCTACTGCAGCAGCTCAGCCGCTAATAAAGACAAAGAGCAACCCAGTGACAACTAAATTAAGTGCCTTGCCGCCGCCACCACTAAGTCCAACTTCAGCAGCAGCCACGGTGGAGAAAAAGGAGCAGGAGGAGCAAACGCTAAAGCGACGCACACCACGCAATGCCAAGCCAGATCGAAAGGCGCCAGCGACTACCGCTGCTGCGGAGCATTCGGTCCTGCCGGATGATACGAATATGAACATATGGGCAAACAAATTTCTGCGTGATTTGGACAGTCTGATTTCACCGGATAAGGCCTTGTCGCCTCAGCAGACAGCGACTGGCCTCCACTGCTCCACATCGGCCTGCAATTCGCCGACATCGAGAACAGCGCCCATGCTGCTCTCAGCAGCAGCCTCGGCAGCCATCCAGAGTCGCTATGGCAAGGGCCATGCATCTGCCCAAGAACAGCTGCAAAGTGCACTCGTCTTGAAACCAGAGAAGCATGTAAGTAGTAGCTGCCATAAATTCTGAGCTCGCGACTAATTTCATAATCTCCCCGTACACACACACATCACACAAAATCGCTGAAATTCCCACATAAGCTCTCGCTTTAATTTCGTCATCTCAACTGCCACATAAGTATTTTTATGTAGGTTAGATAAAATATGCTTAAGACAAAGGCATTTAATCTTGAGACGAAACAATGTTGTCAACACATACTGTTTACGCCTCTCTGCTCTGCCCAGCCCACACGCAACATTCCCTCCCACCACCACCAACTATTTAGTGAATCAGCCAGCCCTTACGGGCGAGTGATGAGAGACAGGCCCGAAAATGTACGATCGCCGTGTCTGTCAGTCCCTCCCTAAGTCGGTGCCATTTGATTCAAATGATGCCCCGGATGCAGCAATAGCCTGATTTTTATGATATGGGCGCGTTAGTCGTCACATGCCCGGCACTTAAGTGAGTTAAGTTCTCAAATATTTGGGTTGCAGCGCTAATAAATGCTACCTTAGGGGATGGGGCTCTACGAATACAGCAGACAGTATGACTACAGGTTGTACTTTTCTTAGGCATAGAGGAGTCATATTATGGGGGCTTTCATTTTTAAGTTCCTTAAATGGGAGGGATTTCTACAAAAAATATGTTCTTACATGATATTAATGGATATTAATGGTTTATATAATGAAGATCATTTATAAGGCGATCATAATAATAAGGACGCCAAGATGAACAAAGTTATAAAATACAAAAAATGAATTTGGCAACAATTACTGCCATTTAACAAAGTCTTTAGCAGTTTTTGTAAGACATTCTAAAACATACTATCTACTTTATTAAATACATTATAGTATTAATTCGTACGTATTGAAACGATACACAATTGTTCCGAAAATATTAGTGTGATTATTATATTTTATTCCGCATTTTGTCCTACATGTCATTGCATTGTCAATACTAGAATTTAGTACACCAAATCCTATATAGTCGGTATATAGTGATCTGATAAGGTTGGTCCAAAGTGTTTACTGTGTCTAGAGCTGTGGTAAGAGTATTGATTTACACAGATACATGTACTATGTATGGATATGACGATTTTTATTCGACTCGTTGATCATTAACAATGAATTCTAATATGTAAAATTAAAAAAAAAAATAAATAAACTCGTCCTTTCTTGGACCTAGGAGAATCTGGATGCCAACTTTGGTTATTCTAGCTTTTATAGTTTCTGAGATCCTTGCGTTCATCCAGACGGACGGACAGACGGACGGACATGTCTAGATCGATTTCTCTCGTTATGCTGATTCAGAATATATATACTTTATGGGGTCGGAGATGCTTCCTTCTTCATGTTACATACTTTGCACAAACCTAATATACCCCCTTTACCCTACGGGTACAGGGTATAAAAACGAAAAAACATTTATTGGAACCGATCAACAGCTTCACTCAACAATCCACCGACCACTCTTGCAGCAACTGTGGATTCTGATAAATAGGTTGCTGTTGCAACCAACCACTTCGAGTATTTACACGCCCCACATTAGTTTGCCTCACATTCCGTGGTTACACAGCAGAGTTTACAAACTGCATTCACAACCACAATAAACCATTAGCCGTATGCACAAACAACCAACTTGTTAGCTGTCGTGCTTATCAAGCCAAATATATCTAATTAAAACATTTATAACCTAAACAAAAATTGTTAAGCGTTGCCGTTGCATATGCTTAGCATACATTTCGCTTTCAGATTATCAGCAGACCAAGAAAAACCAACAGAAATATACACACAAATATTAATTTTTGAAAACGCGTGCCATACCATGGATAAGTCAACAACAACAACAACAACACCAACGACAAAACAAAAGCTTCGAACAGCCAAAATTGTGGTTGTGTGGTTGTCTGGTTAGGTTGTCGTTGCTGAGACTTGAAGCCGTTGCTGCTGTTGCATGTAGTTGTTGATGGCACAAGTTGGACTCGTATGTTAGCAATAACAAGTTCCCCCATGATACTAATAGCCAACTCAAATTTAAAGCCTATAAGTTGCTGTGGAAACGTTCATCAATCGAGGCGCCCTCATATTCCCAATTCCCCCGATCCATCCTATGACTTGAAGTATGCCACGATATGCACGAGAATTCTGTGGCTCCCGTTTTGGGAGCGCCTTTGGGCGCCAGAAGTTCTGCCTGCAACTTGCACATTTACTTACGACACTCCGACATGTTTGGACTTGGTTCATAAAAGGGAAAATAGCGCGAAGAAAGATGTAGAAGCAGAGGAAGCTGTCATATTTTCGTTTTCTGTCTCAGCGACTGAAGTAAAAGTGCCAATTAAAAGTGCTGAAATCGAAATCCGGCACACTAATTAGCGTACCGTAAGGTCGAGCAGTGGCCCGCGAAAGACAACTACAGCCAGTCAGTCAGTCAGTCAGTCAGTCAGTCAGTCAGTCAGTCGGTCAATCAGTCAGTCAAGAGCGACAGCAGTGGCAATGATTTATAAGCTCCATTGAGGCATAAATCAAAGACAACCTTATCGAGGACACAAGTGCGTGGCTTGCTTGCCAACGGTAGCGGCTGTCGCATCAAACTGTCAACGAAAGTAAAGAAAAAACAGATGTTTTCATTCTCTTATTCTTTTACGATTCTTTTTCATTTTGGGCACGCGGTAGAGAAGACCCAGCAGCGAATTGGGTCAAAATACAGACTGCCAATATTACGCCTGCACTCTCCTCCTCTCCTTTGGATACGGGGTGTAACCGTAGAGGGATGGCTTGAAAGCGAGCCGCCAACCGAGTGTCCAAAAAGTGTTACTTTGAAAAAAGATGAGCACATTTTTAAAGGCGATCGGAAACCAATGCCATAAAATGTCATTCAATAGCAAGAGAGACAGTGAAATACTCTGTACTCAAGGAAAACTTCCGCCACTGTTTTTTCTGCAATGTATTTGTATGTAAGGGTGTAGGGGGGGGAGGGGGGTGGTGGTGATCAGGGGCAGCCATTGCTCCCCTACAAAAATATCCGCAATATGAAGTCGACCAATCATTCATTATTACAAGTATGGCGCAATATTTTGCGTTACAATGGAACTAAGTTGGATTTGTTGAAATTTTTGTATTTATCGCATGCATAAATAATTATTTTAACGCATCGTGCATTATTTAATCAAACATTAAATTTTTGTGGTCCCCCTTTTGGAAAAAGCTGCCTACGTCCTTGATGGATGTATTTACATTGTTATCAGGGCGCACAGAAGAGGTAAGAGTATGAAGATTATGTGTAGGGTAAAAAGGTGATTCGCAATAACATTTCTTAGAATTGACAGATTTCGATTAAATTGAAATGAAAATAAATCATTGATAGTCGGACGAACGAGCCACTATATCTACACCCTACTTCTTATGTCTGTTCTATCTGATGTTTCTTTGCAATTGGTCACCATTCGCGATTCACGAATAATGCAACAACCTCAGATATGACAACAACATTTTTATAATGCACCTCCGTCCAAATATTTTACAAAATTAAATGAGCATTTTGTTCAAAAACTTTTCCATATACCAATGTATAGTTACCTGACAACACCGGTGTCCATTAATAAAACGTGGTATCCTTAGGAGTGGTGCACCAAACACAGCAGAAAAGTCGAAAATACCTAGACCTAGTGAAGAGGTTTATCTCTAATAAGGCAATGGGGGCTCAATCAAAATAGCACTTTATTCAAACACTGTAAAACCTACACAAAAGCTCGAATGATGAAGTTGAGCACCCTTTATGCCCTAACTTTATTCGCTGCAATTTGTTGGCATGAAAGTGAATCTCGTATGGAGGCCATGGCTGGCCATTGTCAAATGCCCTTAATGATGATGGATTCCGCAATGGACTTGTAAGCTGCACCAAAAACGATTTTCACGCAACTTTGCAGACACTTTTGACTTAAGTAGAACTTGCAAATCACTGCAAGGCAAACAAACATGACGGCTCTGATGGCCAACACAAGCATAACGTTGAAAATGTGGAACGATCGAATGATGGAAGGACGACAGGAAAAAGAGGAGGGACGACAACGACGATGACGCCGACGACGGTGGGCTGGGCCGCAGTTAAGTGTTTTGATTTGATAATTATTATCAGCGCGCATGCGTGACCGAAGGCCACAACGGCAACAGGCCCTCGGTACGAGTATGTCAAATCGATTTGCAAGCTGCGTTTTGAATCTCATGCGCCAAAACACATACCCGCACCAGTATCTTAAACTGCATCAGACTTGAGACTCACACATCACATCGGGGCATCGAGAGCAAAGAGTGAACTCCAGGCGGACGGTGGTCGGCCTGTAAACAGCTGGGAAAGTGGGTCAATTGGAGCATATGGCGGTCATAAAAAAGGGCGTTGGCGATGCATTGCATTTGTCGTTATGCATATTACTGTTGTCGTAAAGTTCTCATTCGCAGCTGCTTCTGCGTCTATAAATATTTTTAGATTTGACGCTTCTAGCGCGTTTTAATGATCAATTAGTGGCGTTTAGGGTGCCCCTTTTTTCGATATTCGCTGCCGCAGATAAACCTTTATGGCAGCCACTTGTTCGGCAAGTGCAGCAAACACCAATATAAAATTTTATTTACTGATTGTACGTATTTTATGGGAAAAATATTTAAATACTCACCCAGGAAATTCACACCGAAGAATTGATACTCAAGAATTTCATAGCACAAGTCAGCGCATGAGTAAATACTTCCCAAGACTCAGATAAAAACCAACTTATACAAATAGTTCTACTTCGTTGCATGACTAGCCATATATCCTAGTAACACATACGAGAATTTTTCTTGTAAGAAGGGTATACATTCCTACAAAAAACCTGTCGTTCTATGAAATGCATTTAATTTGGGGTCTTTTATGGCATTCAAATTGCCCTTTGGGAAGGGCATTGTGTGAAACTCAAGTTGTGACTATAAAATTCTAGTTTTTATGTTCCTTTTCATCTCGCGCTATCAACAACTGCGCTGACGCTCCAATTTCAATCAAAACACGCACCCATACTCGTTTCCCAACACAAAAAGAGACTAAACATTCGATTAAAACATGTTGAACTTGGTGTCAGCGCATAATGGAGAATTTTTTTCCAATTTCTAGGCTATGTGGGATAAAAAACAATATCCAAATTAATAGACAGCATTAATAAATGGCCGTAAAATCTTAATAGTATAACAGTTAGCCGTCGGCCATTCCAAATGATTTCGAACTGGCGCCTATGCGACTATAAATAGTAGTGAACAAATGCCCATATAAGTCTGCCCATATACGTGTACATATATCCGAGTGTGTGCGAGTCTGTGCCCGATTCTTGCGTCTCTGAGAGCTGATACTCATTAACACGCGACGCGCGCAATTGCTGCGTGGCCGAGTATCCGAATGGCTAAAAGGCTGAGCGATCGGGGAGGGGCAATGAGAAGCCTTTATTAATAATTTATGAAATTGTAATTGCAAGACGTGCGCATTTAGACAGCCACTGCTCTGCTCCATAATGCATTACAAATTTTATTCGCACAGTTCAACAGTTGTGACATTCCCAAAAGACCTGCCACAGCAACAGAAACGGCAACACATCCTGGCAAATAATTACATTATAGATTGGCCATATTTGGGCAAGCGTCTGTCAGGTTGTTGTTGTTATTGTTCTTGTTGTTGTTGCCAGCCCACAAGTTGCTTAAAGCGAAAACCTTACAGTAGTCAGAAAATTGTGGTTTCTCAAATTTTAGTTTGCACTTTTGTTAAAGGAAGAACACTGTATACTACGGGATGGTACGAGTTCTTTAACCAAAAGATGTTTTGAAACCATGCGCCTTTAAATAAACATCAAATAATACACAATTCTGAATTGGCATACTTTTGGGGATTACTTTGTAAAATGAACTTGACTCAATTAAAGTTTCATTCAAATACAGATCAAATATTTGTCACCCAATCGGGTACAAAAAAGTTTGAGTTCCCAATTTGAAGGCCTCACATTAACTATGTATATATACCGACATACAATTTTATAAATAGTGTCCCTTCAGATACATCTTGAGCATTTTCATTGTTGTTTTTGGGTTCTGTTGGAGATACTGTAACTGACTTTGTAACTGTGAACAAAAACAAAAGACTTGTCCAGCTTCTTACAATCTTCCTCTCGTTTATCTTTCCACCCTCCTCACACCCCTTCCCACCCCGCCGGGTACTTTTGTAAACTAGTTTTTTACTGACATTACCCAAAAGCCCCAAAGGAGTTGAATCATTAACTGGCACAGCAGCAACAACAAGAACAGCAACACGCTGCAACAGCCAGCTTGATAAAATGTTGATGCTTTAAGGCACATGCCCATACAAACTCGCACACTCCATACACTTTTTGCGTCAATCAATCATATAAATCAATTTCCGCTTGTTGCTGTACAAAAATATATTTTAAACGAATTTTTTGCACTGCCTGCCTTCGCCTGAGCAGTGTGTCGGGCAACAAAAATTGTCAATCGCTTTAGCTTGTAAATCCAATTGACATAACGAACTTAACGAATGCACCTTTTTTTGCAACGCTGCAGCCTTGCTACTTATTCCTACCATGGCCTAGGAACTACCAAAGTCTCAGATAAATTATTTAAAGCAATTGGTACAAGAATTTGAAAAAAAGTCCACTACTTATTGGGAAGTTATTGTTGAATACGGGAAAGGTGGCTCTAGACTTTATACTTTTGAAAATAATATTTGATCCACAGAAGAAATGACAGGCAGGCATATCTAGAGCAACTCATCTTCTCATGCTGAGGAAGAATGAATATACTTTTTAAATAAATACTAATACTTCCGGGTGTTTATGTTTTTATAATTACTAGTAATACTAGATCGTACATAATAAAGAAATTTATCATTTTACAAGTAAATAGTTATAAATTGTTCAATAATTTCTTTGAATTGAAAAGCTGCAACTACCCAAAAGTTATTAACATATGAGTACTACTCACAAAAGTGCTGATCACATTTCTATATTATTTCTATTACTAAGAATCTGGAGTTTTCGCCACTGCCTGTAACTCAAACCCTCTTTTCGAATTTAAACAGACAAAAGTGAAAGAACTGAAAATAACTTAATAAGATTAGGTGCAGTTGCGTTTTCGAAAGTCGCTGTATCCGGACACTTAAACTAATCATCCGATAAAAAAAAAAAATGTCGTATGACTTTCTATATGTTTATCATGCTGATTAGGAATGTTTGCTTTCAGTTTGATAGGGCTGATGCATATTGCCTATAGAATGATATCTGAACACTTTTCGGCGCTTTGCATAAAAGGGCACAAAGGATAATTCTGAGAGGAATGGGTAACGTATTGAATGGCAGATAGTTCGTGCTAACCCAGTGTTCGTAGAATACCGCCTTGGCGCTTCTCAGGACAGCAGCTAAATCAAAAGCTCGCCACAATAACACATTTTCTAGACATTGTGCGTAGTTTTCTTCGTTTTTTTTTTTTTTTTTGCAACGAGCGAGCGGCACACTTGAAATCCCTTTGTGAACCATTCGCAGAAAACTAACTCTCAGTGCTTCGTTTTCGATTTGCATAAAATACAAATTCTTGTGGCGCAACACAAAAAGCTGCAGACAACAACGTTGCTGATGCATTCAAGCTGTTGTTGTTGCTGTTGTTGTTATTGCTGTTGTTGTCGTTACTGCCACTTGACAACGTTTAAAAATGCCGTTTACATTTTTGTTGCATTCTGTGTTGTTTTCTAAAAAGGTGAATAGCGCAGATTCGAGCAGCGTCCACGCCACCGACCACGCCAGGCTCATTATGTATTCAAGGTCCTTTTGTATAAGGTTGAGGCTGCTGCGCTCCAGCCCTCGCCTCCTTCTCTGTGGCACTGAGCGTGCCACTCCAAACTGTCAGAGGCGCGTTGTCGACTTTTCTTTATTAAACCTGACCGACTATATTTTAATACATGTTCGTTCTTACCTTATGTTTCTTTTCTTTTTGTTTCGCTTGCAGGCAACCATTCCACTGCAATCGTTTAACCTTGATTGCGGACCCAGCGAAGCGACGGCAACAGCGACGCCAGCGACCAAATCGAACGTTGCCTACTTGCGAACCTTGTCGGCACCGGGAACCAGCAGCCTCGACGGTAGCGGGGCCAGCGAGGGTATCAACGGGGCCAGCTCTGCCTGCGCAGCAGGCAAGACTCAACGCAAGAGCCTGACTGCATTTAATGGCAATGCGGAGCCAGCCGCAACTCATAAGCTGACAAATTTCCAAAGCGTATTGAAAATCGAGGAGATTGCTGCTGCGGCTGCCGCCAAAGCGAACACTGAGGCGGCAACAGGTGAAGCGACCACCGGGGATGAGCTGAAATCTAGGCGACATCGCCAATTGGCAAGCGATATGGAGGACATGGACATGCTGCTGCATGCAACACTGGCGGCTGCTTCGTCCATGCCAAAACGGGAACGCATTAATCATGCAACAGCCGCCGCCACGACGACGATGACGATGACGACGACGGCGACGGCGAACATGTCTCCAACGTTGACAACGACCAAGCTGTCGCTTCTGAGCCACGGCGAGACCATAACCCCGCCCCCGGCCAACGGGCAGCCGCAGCACCACCAACAGCTGACCTCGGCCAAAGGCGCCGCAGCGCCTACTGGCTACTTGCTGCACAGCAGCGACGTGACCAAAAAAGGCTCCACCTCAACAATCTGGACATCGGAGGAGTCCATACTGCGCAGCGTTGGCGCCGCCGATGAAGACAATAAGTAAGTATCAGATACACTGGGCAGCAGACAACACCACCCAACAGAATTAGGACTAACAATCATGTTGTTTTAATTTAAAAGTAATACAAATTCTATTCCAAAAGCTCTGCAAAAGACGACTTCAGGCATAACTTTTCCAAACACACTTTTAAAATATAAAATGCTATAGGGGCGGGCCACATGCCTTTTTAAATACAAATATCTTTGTTGCCCACTTGGCATTTAATTTGATATGAAGGAGAAAAATGGGTGTAGCTTAAAGATACAAATCAGTGTTGGATAGTGCACTCAAACAGACAGCCGTCAATGGTGTACGTTAGACGGTGTCTACCGACCATTGCCTCCTGCCTGCTGTCTGCTGTCCGCTGTCTGCGGTGGGCTGCTTGGGACCGCCCGCTATTTCTTCATTAAATTGTCGCTCGATATTAATTTGTCATGATGTGTTACAGCTCCACTTCGTCGTCGGCCTGCGAGGAGGCCGCTGGCGTTCTCAGCTCGGGTAAATCGGGCATATCACTGGACTCATCGGGCCTGGACAACGATAACAACGAAAGCGGCATAGGCACGGCAACGCCGCCCAAAGACATGTCCCACTGGAAGAGTCACCAGCTGCATCATCGTGCGAACGGGAGCAGCGGAGGCGGCCTCACCAACAACGACAACGAGTCAATTAGCAGCTTGGAGGCACTGCGCAAAATAAAGTTCCCAAAGAGTGGTTCAGTGGCCTCCTCCGATGATCCCGATCTGCTCGAGGTGCTCAGCTTGTGTGATGAGGCGATACACGGTAACGAGTCCCAGGACGACATGCTGCTTCACGATGATCAGAAGCCGCAGCCGAAGCTTCGACGCCAGCAGCAGCAGCCACAAAAGGGCGAAACTGAAAAGGCCACGACCAATGAGTACGACGAGTGCCTCGATGACTTCATGACTGGTTGCGACTGGGACTGCACTGACGGCGATGCTAGTAGCAGTGGTGGCGGCACTAGTGCCACCAGCGGCAGCGGCACCACTACAGGAGAACTCACTGCAGCCGCACCGGTTGTCCTGCGTCGCAGATATAACGCCGTATTGGCGCCTTGTGTGGGGCGTGGAAAGAACCATCGTAGCTACTCCTTGGACACCACGGGTCAGCAGCAGTTGCACCAACACCACCACCTGTTGCCTCGCAAGTTGCCACATTTGCAGGGACGTCCGCATACCAAAGAACGCGCCCAGCTATCGCTGGCTCTGCGTCAGGAGCCCTTCCAGTCACTGCTCTCACCCAATCTGCACCACTTCGGGGAGCTGCCCTCGCCAAGTAGCGCTTCGCTACATAGCGGCCACGAAGGTGGCATTGGTCTGCAGGAACAGCTGACGACTAAATCCAATTCGGCGCCGCTGCTGTTGAAGGAGCGCGAGCGCAGCCGCCGCTGCGACGACTTTGCCGCACAGCATCTGGTGGGTAGCTCGATATAACTGCAATGAAGCTTGATTAGCAGACATTAACGCGACTTCCCCCGCTTCCCTCTCTTCTCGTTGCAGACACTGCGCTATTCGCGTTCGCAAAGCGATCGGTATTTAGCAGGTGAGTGAGCGGGGAACTAGTTTGCCCCATCTAGCCTGTAGAGCGAAGCCAAGGCTTGTTTTGTGTGCCTGAGTGGACTCTTCTGGTCTTTTTGACCGCCTCTAAATGAGTTATTTAAATGCGTTGATGCGCTGTCTGGCTGATTTGATCTGCTGGTGGTCCCTGCCAACCAATTAGTGGCCTGTTATTAAGCCTGAGTGGTTTATAATAATAGAGTGGGGTTACATTCATAATTTCTATAATTATCAGTGCTGTTGAAATGTATCCCACAAATAGTAAAGTACTATGTATACCTGTCTCTTTTTATGACGAGGCAAATAGAAATGATTAAAAGAAGTTAATGTGGATACCATAACCACAATTCTTAAAATGTATAATTAAACTCGTATGTGAATATGCGGATAAAAACGTTCGTGTAGAAATCCCCGGCACCCAGAAAAGATATCAATTCCAGCACACATGGGAAAAACCAATCATAGAATGGGGCTATTAATAAATAAACTTTTTAGACTTTCGCTCGCAGCGAGCTGCATCATAATTTGATTTCGATGCGCGCATATAGAACAATTGAAAGCAATCAAGTGTTGCACTGTCCAGCGACTGTCATTTAAATTGCTTTCATGTTCTTTTGGCACAACAACAACCACAACAACAGCAGGCAGCGCTCTTTTTGCAAATATCCAACATTTCCGTCAACACTTCAATACAAATAGAATGCAGCCAAACCAAAAATGGCTGTCAATCTGTCAACGCGCACACTTTTGATTGCTTTCATACACTCGCACACATACCCGTACTCGTACTGTTGTATTGCCTGGGCAGGGACAGAGCTACGAGTATAGCTACCAAGGGGGGGAGGCAAGAGGTTGAGCTATTGGCCTCATGTAGAAATGGCGTATAAATGGGCAGAAATTGAATCGGCAGTCGAGTGACTCTCGACCAGCACGGGCCAATGCTCGAATGGTCAGAATGCGCGCACAAGTGACATCCCACTCCTTGCCGGCTTTCAGCCAAATGCCATTTCGCTTTTCCCGCTCGGATGAGTGCTGAATTATAAACACAAAGCAGCAGCTTCAACCAAGGACCAACATTAGTGACGTCAGCAGGACTACCCATATGGGCTGCTAAGCCGACGATTAACTTGCCGTTTTTTTGCCTTCCATACCACCCAGGGACTCGAGCACCCAAACATCAAAACACGTGAAAATGGGAATACGCGAGCTGAGCTCCCGAAAGGTCGTCCAGTCGTTGTTCATATTAATGACGTCGTTACAATGACGTAAGTAGCCATTGCCGCAGCCACTTCTGTTGCTGACCGTACTCTGCACACATTGCGTTTCGTAAAGGTCAGCGCACAATTGAGAGTAGCGGCCATCTTATCTCCTCTTATCCTATGGCCTTGCCCCACAAGACATCCAAAATGTTGTATTACATTATGTATACATGCATATGTATTACATATATACATATTATTTATATAGTTTAATTTTGTATTGCTTGAGCAAATTGCCCATTTAGCCTAGACTCGCCATGCATTACTCATACGCACAGTTGGTTGCCGTCGCTAGGTACCAGCTTTTTTTACGCATTCAAACAAATGAAACTCAATAACAACTTATTATCGGAAGGTTTGGGAGGAATATATATTTAGACGTCCACCTGAGCACATCTTTCCTCATAAAATAACTGATTTATTTATTGACAAACACGTTGGCTAAAGGAACAATGTGCTCTACCCCTGTCTATTTATATAATGCTATAACATATATATATATATATATATAAATGTACATAGATTCTTGATCACCATGACAGAAAAAAACAACCTTCTTTTTTGTCCTTTTCCTTACATGCATTTAAGAACTCATCAAACAAACAATGGAAAACGCAAATGGTATTTAGCAATTCCATGTAAATGGTTAAATCTGTTTTAAATCGGATCTTTAGAAAAGTTATTAGTAAAATAATTTTACTGCAGCTCTTCATTTTCTTGTTTATTGCTTCCAATAAGTACGCGCATGTCTAACAACTTATACTCGTATAACACAGCTATAGGATAACTGGATAGGATTCTGTATGGGTGGACCAACTTCAAAAATGTATTTTCTTTATCTTCGAAGTTTTTTTGTTATGCTCCAAGCTAGAATTACCTGTTTTATAGAAAGTTCTGTTATACTTTGTTATATCTTTGTGTTCATACAGACGAATGTGCCATACTGGTCAGTAATAAGTATATACATAAGTATGTGTTTCATTTTTTTTATACAAATTAACGAACTCATTTTAGCTACTCTTCAGTGATCAAAATTCTGTGGTCGCCATTATCTGTGGTCGCCATATGGGGGGGAACCATAAAATAGAAATATTATTGCGTGAAAATTTGAAATATTTAAAATATTTAATGTGAATTCATATGAACAAAATCGGAAGTACAACGAAGCCAGTAGACAACATTTGCTTCATCGTTGTGCGTTTTCTTTATTGAAAAGTTTAGCACGCAGTATATCATGATTTATGTCTGAATTTGTTCAAATAGAACTCATAGGCATATATTTCGTTTATTTATTTCTTCTGTGCGAGCCAATAAGAATGACATATTTAGCGCTATATGTGTTGGTATAAAGTAGAAATGTATAATTACGTATATAAGAAAAATATAAACACGTCCAAGAAATGTTTCTGCAATGAATTGTATATTTACTTTTTTGGCTAATTCGCTGAATGCGAATTTTTAAAAAATTACCAAATGAATTTATTTATTTATTAAAATATGTACATTATTAGAATCTCCTTCAGTGGATTGTCTGCTTCTGTACAGCTTCACACCGTCAGTTCACATTAATTATAAAATCAAAGGAACTGAAAGGTTAACCTTGAAAAACAAGCCACATACAATCACACTCCGCCCATGGCAACGGCAACAGTCCTTGCGCCATATAAGCAACAGGTGTGGCATGTGGCTGTTGTCTCGCAAAGTCTTGAAACTTTCACAAGCCCACTAATACTCGCTCAGCCCATATGAATTTTAATGAATGCCCATAAAACACAACACAATGAACAAAGCTGACATGTTCACTGCATGTATGTGTGTGTGTGTGTGTGTGTTAGTGTGCTAGTTATTGAGCAGAACAGAGGCACTTGATGGAGGAGGATAGGACATCCTTGCGATTGAACATGAAAATGAAAAAAGCAGCATCAACGGCAAATATAAACAACATTCTGTTAGCCAGTCAGTCGGTCATTTATTTATTTATTTGTGTGTTCGCTCCCTTGGCCTGCTTGTCCTAGTGGCCGTCCTTTCTTCAGTCCTCTTCCGCCCTGCCCCTCCTTTTCCGTTTCTCACACTGGACGACATGCGACAGGCAAAAGGCTGCCAACCATCCAACCATCCAGGCAGCCAACTAACCACAGCAATGTAATAAGCGATTGTGGCGCCGATAAATCTACATGCCATCACCGCTGCATCTCACAGCCCCAATTCCATCCCGATTCCTATCCCAACACACAATCACAGTCGCTCCAAGATACCTCTCATAATGAACAAGAACATTGTAATGCCAGACAACGGTACAACACCAACACCAACACCAGCATCAACACCAATACCAATTCGACGCCAACATCAGGAAGGCGGCTAACAATAGTTGTTGCTCATACGCCCCGTTTCCACCACTGCTTCATACATCGATTTCGTGCAGGCGCTCGGGTATTTCTGCGCTCGTGTGCCTGTTGTTCGCATAGGCTCGCCGTTTCGCACGCCATTTTCCCTCGTCGCGTTGGTAAATTCATTAGTGCTCTTACAGGCGCCGTGCACTGCAGACGCGTTTTGGTTTCAACTTGTTGTGGGCGAATAGGAATTCGACCAAAAGCAAAGCGGAACTGAGCGGAACGCGCGCTCGTTACAGCCCACAAATTACAGAAAGTAAACAAAATAAACAAAAGTGAGAGTGTGTGGTTGCAGGTGCCGGTGCTGGTGTTGATGTTGGAGCTGGGGGCAGCTTTAGGGACGATTGTGGCATAAAAATGCTTTGAACTGTTTCATTTATTTCCACTGAACAAACGAACGCCACACTTGGAAAACATCTTGCGAACGAACGCGACACGCGCTGCTGCCTTCAAATATACGAGTACTCGTAATTCTCTCACCTCGCTCGCGCGTCGCTAGTGAAAGCAGCCAAGACGGCGCTACCAAAGATCGTCAATATGCAGCGTCGCATGTCGATCACCATTCGCGAGTACAAGTTCTTTCGGAGCTTCTCGCAGAAGTTCGAGAACTGGCCGAAGCGCAAAGCCGAGGCTATCTGGCGCAAAATGCGCGAGCGTAAGATTGCAGGTGAGCTTCGAGCCAATCCGTATCCTTATCCCTATCCCAATTCCAATTTCAATTTCTATTTTAAAATTTCAGCGATTTTCTTTTCTTGTATTCAAGGGCAACTTTGTTTTGATAGGTACGAGTACGATAGGTGCTTGTCGATTATTAAATTGAAATTGAATGCCCAGCCTGATCTTGTTGTATACAAATACGATTAATAATTCCTGATTGCCATTTGTGGAATGCGCGCGCGAGCAGCATTCTGTTTATTGTATTTCTGCACCTATTTTAAGAGCAAAGCGTGGCTATTTGCGGCCCCACGATGGCAGAAACATAAACAATAGCACCCGCACAGCCTCTACTTATCAATCGCAAGCGCATATTAATCGAATTATTTATGCCTTATTATGAATAGATCGGGATGCTCGTACAAGATGGGCAGGCTGAAAAGATTGTGTTGCAACAAGTTGCCACACTCGTGCCATCGAGTAAACGAGTATGTGAGACTCTTATTAGTAGGCATGCATCCAGCCAGTCAACGGCTTGTCATTTAGCCACTCAGCTCGTCACTCGGTGGACTGTCTGTCCAGCCATGCTTTGAATATGCCATCTATGTCTATATTTGTATTGTGGGGACCCTCGTTGCACCATAATTTTGCTTCTTTTTTTTACACCCCAGCGAAATTGC